ACCAATCTATGTCAAAGGTTTTCAAATTTTTAGGGGTCAAAGCTCTTAAAAGGAAGCACAATTTTACAATTGTAAAAAATCAAACGACCTATACTTATTGTCAAAAAGAAGCTTTTAATTAAATCACATTCAGGTAACTATCTGGTGATAACTTTTTTTCTGATGGTAGAGCGTGTAGTTTAGCTCGAAGTGTAACTCAAAACGCAACTCGGTGAACCCTAAATCGAACGATAACTCTAACTTAAGCTAGAACTCGAAGCATAACTCGATCTTTACCTCGAATTTAAACTATAACTCGATGGTTAGACACACTCGCTAAAAATGCATACTAGTATAAAACAATAATTTTTAAAAAGGGTGAGAGTTCCTGTAGTAGATGAAGACAATATAGGTTATTGCACAAGGCTATGCTTTGGCAGACTATTTATATCAGAATAATGAGATGCCAATGAGACAAATCAGCTATCAACCCGGGAACAAAAGACGAGTATGTATTAAACAACTATAAGTCACTGTATTGCAATCAACAATGAACAAAATCCATACCGTATAGTCAGATGTAAAAGGTCCCGACATAAAAAATATGAAACAATACAAACTCGAAAACAACGGCCTAATTTGTGACAAATCAATTAATGAAAAAAAAAATCTTGCGAAAAACAAATATAACAGATAACGACAATCTGAACTGCTGTGAAACATCAACCAACGACAACCACTGTGTAGGTATTAGTCCCAGCAAGAAGGCAACTAAAATATAAGTTAAAACCCCGGTTGGCCAAAAGAAAAAGAAAAAAACAACAGTACAAAAACCACAGAAACCCAAAGATTTAGCAACACGAACACAACGAAAAATCACCTCATTTAAGGTCAAGTTAGAGTAAATTGGCTATGTCACAGATTTTGATAAAATTTTGCAAACAAGTTTAGCTCGTTGAACTTAACTGAAAATTGAAAAAATAATGCATTGGTGATCCATATCTTTTATTTTCTGAAATATTGCTGATTGAATTCTTTCAAAAAAGGTGAACATTTGTATAGAAAGCACGTTCCTTAAATTGTCTAAAATTCGTCAAATGAGAAACAACTTCGAATCCATAGATTTTTATTTAAAAAATTTATGTTGTTGATACATAAATTTCGTAAACTGATGACAATGTATAATGGGGTCATGCACCGACTTTGTTTTAAGGATATATACATGTCATACATCATTCAAAATTATGGTGTCTTTGGTGAAAGAAAACTTGAAAAACGTCGAAATGAGCGTAACGTGATCGCGTTGTTGGCCGTAAAATGTCGATGTTTGACGCTTTTCACTACCAACTACTAGGTAACGGATTGGTTAAAGTAGGAATTAAGACAAGTAAACACGGGAATTTCTTTATAAAGTTACATTTTCAAAATATTCACTGTCTTGGACTATTTGTATATGATGCTGGATATTTGTTGGTCCCAGAATCGGTATACTGTATAGAAAGAGCTTAAGATTCTGAATAAATAAACTTTGATGTTTATAGCCTGTCAAAGTAGATATACAGCAAGATCAAAATCTGTAACGATAAATAATTATTTGTAAGCAAAACAAAGGATTTGTACAGTACAAATCCACGGCGAAACAAACACATGTATGCAATTCAGGTTCCGGATTCTTAATCCGAAATGGCAATGGTGCGAAATGGTTATGGTACGAAATGACAAAGAATCATAGTCATTTCGTACCATAACCATTTCGTATCACTCATTTCGTACCATAACAAAAACCATTTCGTACTATAACCATTTCGTACCATGACCATTTCGTACCATTATTGAAGATTATAATGTATACCATTTCGTACCATATAGAAGATTATAATGTATACCAATTAGTACCATATGGAAGATTATAATGTATACCATTTCGTACCATATGGGAGATTATAATGTTTACCATTTCGTACCATATGGAAGATATAATTTATACCATTTCGTACCATATGGAAGATTATAATGTATACCATTTCGTACCATATGGGAGATTATAAAGTTTACCATTTCGTACCATATGGGAGATTAAAATGTATACCATTCCGTACCATATGGAAGATTATAATGTTTACCATTTCGTACCATTGTACGCTATTTTAGATGTATTCATAATTCAGTACTGAAGGTAAGTTTTCCTATGTTTAATTGCCTACCATAGAATGTGCGTACATGAAATTTCTTGATTGGAGATGAGAAAAGAACCGGAAATTAATTAAAACTTTCGATACCCAGTTTTTGTCATATGATTGATTGTATGTAATTACTGTCTTAAATTTAGATATGGTGTATACTTCACATAAGTAAGTAAGTAAATTTTATTTGGAGTCGGGCATGATATGTACAATTCAACAAGGTAAACATGAGCTCTGTAGAGCTCTTAACCGACTTGATATTTAAAAACAAATAACAAATTATAAGCACATTTGACAAACTACACATACAAATAAAAACTTCACATGTTCTTTTATTCATATATTTCATGAATATCAATTCAAAAAAAGAAAACAGGTATTACGTTTATTTTATTATTTATTTGTGTACATATATACATAACAATAACAATAGAAAGAACAATAACAAATTGCACTAAATTGAAACTGGACATGCACTCAACTCAAAATAAAATACGTCTTTTAACTACACTAAACTGTATACTCAATAGGCACTCAAATTAAATTAATGGTTAGTCCTTTAATTGCAATAACGTGTAACCTAATAATTAACGGCCGAGTTGCTTAGAGTTGAAGAAGCAAATTATTCTTAAAAATATGTAAAGTTAAAACACGTTAGTGCATCATTAGTCGATTAAGCTTGCTGAATCATAGTGGTTGTACAATTTGTGCATTACATTGTAAATATTTTTATCATATGCATGTTAAAAATCAAAGAGCTGTATCATTGGCCAGTGGCGTAGCTAGGCCATTTTTAAGTGTACGCCCGAACCTCGGCGAGGGGCCTGACGGCCCCCAGCGGGTTCAGGGCAGAGGACCTTCTGGTAGGGGGTTCGAGGGGCGAAGCCCCCGGAAGCTCACGCGTTATCGAGAAAGAGATACCATTTCTGTCATTAAAAACTCATCAATAGCAACATACTTTAGAGTCTTATTTGTTTATTTTTATGTTTAATCTATGTATGTGGGGTAAAACAATCAATCAACAAAAAATCCAAAACTTTAGAGATAGTAAAAAAGCAAGTCTCCATTTCAATGTTGTTCTATTAATTATCAGTTTGACTTCATGTAAATTTTTCCCATTTTTATGTGCAAATTCCGTTAGTAATGGACACATGACATAATTAAATTTCATAGATGGTCATGTGTAATATAAGATTTCGTAAATAGTTCCGTGGAACCCTATGTCTCGCCTATGATTGCTGCTGTCAGTGTAATAGTGTAATGTTGACTGTAAAACGTGGATCCTTTTTTCAGTAAAATACAGGATTTAAGAAAAAATCTAACTTTTTTTTAAGACGCTTTTCAGTCTTGATCTTGAAGATTAGCTTATGATATATCTAAGTTTCATAACAATCTATATACAGGATTTAAGAAAAAATCAAACTTTTTCTTTAGATGCTTTTTTTTTGTCTTGAAGATTAGCTTATTTCCAAGTTTCATAACAATCTATGAAGGTTTACAAATTTATTATGTAAAAAAAATTAATCCTAGAGCGTGTTAATTGAAAAAAAAAAATAAGTCAGTAAATTACTAACAAAAAAAAAAAAAAAAATACTTTCAAATTTTGATTCGGACATTATCTCTTGATCATCAAAAAACTTCTGCCAAATTTTCATAAAATTCGATGAAGGTTTGACAAAGTAATTGATGTGTAACAAGCTTTAACCTCAGGCTGTATCTACTTATTATATTTTAACTACAAGTAAAATACGAAAAAAATAAAAATATATTTTCATTATGCTCTGGATACTGAACTTTGATTTAAGAATGCTTGTATCAAACTTCCGTAAAATTTCATGAAGGTTTGACAAAATTATTGATGTCTGAAAAAAATTAGCCATAGACTGTATCTAAATATTAACTGTAAAAAAAACTAACTCCAGTTATAAAAAATAAAAATGAATATTTTCAAAATTTTGCTCTGAATACTGTTTTTAATTTGGTTATAAGAAGCTTCTGTCCAAATTCCGTAATATTCCACGACGGTTTGACAAAGTAATTGATGTTAAAAAAAAACTTTAACCACAGACTAAACCTACATGTTGGCGCCGACGGAATCTAGGATCGCTAAGTTGCGTTTTCGCGACATAAATGTCACAGGCTCGACAAAATGCAAACCCCCTTATCGTATCTCAGTAGATGATGAATTGCTATAAACAATAGGAAACTGAGTAGAATTCACAGTAGATTCAGACTTTGACAGAAAATAAACAAACATATAAAATGATACCATTTAATTAAAAAGTAAATTTCGTCATGCACTTTTATCTTTAATTACAAGTCATTGAAGAAAGAATTACAAAACTCGTGTGCTTTTAATCAGTGCTTTTGATTATTTGGATTAAATAATTTTTTCTCCTAAATTCATGTGTACGCCAGAGCGTTTTGACGTAAACGTTGCTACGCGCCTGTTGGCAATCATACCAAAACTTCGTACTTTTTTTTATGTAAAAATAAAATATTATTGGTCTAATGATACCAGAGACATATAATGTATTATATGTCTCTGACGATACATATTCATTGCAATGCATGTAATACTCACTCTTCCAAGTGGATTTCTGGTACAACAAACACCGGACCGTCTGGTGATGTTGAAAGTTTAAGAAATGTTGGTACGAAATGGTAAAGCATTTTTTTCCATATGGTTCGAAACGGTAAAGCATTTTTTCCATATGGTACGAAATGGTAAATCTTTTTTTCCATATAGTACGAAATGGCTTATGCTCATGGTACGCAATGGTAATTTTGGGTACGAAGTGGCAATGGTACGAAATGGTTAAGGTACGAAATGACTAGATACCGGGCACCCTTCCATCCGGGTTCTAAAACACGACGATGAAGAAAGGTATTTTTCGAAAAAAAAATATAATATTTAACGGTCCAAAGCTCCCATGTTCTATTTTCACTGACCCATTTTCTTTAGTTTAACACAACATCAACTGAAAAATGATTCGCATATTGAGCTTTGGCGAATGATAAACGATCATAACCCTGTCACCGGTGTGTGACAAAAAGTGCACTATCCTGAAGATATATGAACAGTGCACCGGTTAAGGATCATAATAACAAAATTGAAATGACTGAATTATTTGAGTTACGTTGATCCCTCTGAAAGCATCTATTTTCCAAGGGATGAATCATATATATAAAAAATCAGATATTCAGAAAAGTTTCTAACCAAAACTTTGCCTTTTAGTCAGAATGGGGAAGTTAAAACCAATGCCCTATGTAACCATTAGGGTAAGTGCAATGCATTCTGCATTATTTAAAAAAAAATCCTTGGATGAACTCTTTAAGAAGTTCATTATGGGCCTATTGCATGGCAGAATTTCTGACCCAATATAATCCAACATACCTTTTTCAGTGGCAGTCCAAATTTCCTTCCTTCAACCAGGTAAACCTATAGCTACTGTACCTTGTAGAATCAACTTTAAGTATTAATTGATAATTAGTTCTGGTCCTGAATATGAATGAAGTATTTACCACAGGAGGTTAAACATGCAACAAGCAATGAGGATATATGTCTATTGAAAAAAGAAACAAACATATGAAAAAAACAACCAAGGCTGGTTTTGAAACACATCATGGCATTATTTTCTGCAGATATTTGGAAGTGTTTTGAGTACTTTTATAATGCATATTTATAATTATGTATCAGGAAATAAGCTTTCACTCAACATGCTCAAGGAGCCAAACTGACAAAATGTGAAAATTTTGTATTGACCATATGGGAATATTCTGTTAAAATGTTAGGGGCCCAGCCAAATTTCCAGTAGCATTGGCTACTGGGCCCCTGTTAATCTTTTCCCTGTATATGCATAAAAAGAATGACAGAAATTAACAATGATATGAGATAATTGTACAAAAGACCATATCAACAACCACCTATGAGAACATAGCTCTACAAATAAACGTAAAGATACCAACAATCAACAGATGGTCCTGATGGCCTGTCTTTGTACAGGCACAAAATGTGGTAGGGTAAAACCACTTTTAACATGCACACAAACCTCTTTATACAAAAAAATGACAGAATGACTACTAACTTGATTAAAAGAAGGACATATGTAATTTGGAAAGCAGGGCCAAAATGTTCTTGTTACAGGAAGCTAGCTATAAATGTAACCACAGCAGTAGGTTGTATTTCTGATGTTTACAATCACTTTTTGAATAGCCTATAGTTAGATGTCATATGACATTATTACATTGCCAGAAGAAGAAATGATTTAAAATATAAAAACAGAATCTTACTTTTAACTATTGGAAACTAAATGAAATATGATTTTGCAATTAATGAATTTCAGACCATTACTAGCTTAACATGGTCAGAAACACATTTACAACTGCTGTCAATAAACAATACAACTGAAATGGAAATGAGACATGAAAATTAACGACATACATGTACATGTCTGATACACTGAAAAATATAGACTAGGGCGACTGATAAATTGAAATGACCTGATGCTACTGTTTTATTTGTGCTATCATGTTGAATTTTCTCTTGTCAGGTTGTCAGCAAACAGAATAAGAAGGAAAACTAATTGGCAATTCACTGCCACCTTGTGGAACAAATCCAGAAGTAAGGAGCAGGTAACTGCACCAAACAGGTGTGCTACAAGCCTTTCAGTGTGTATGTTTGGAAAGTGTATGAACATGGCAAGGCAAAGGGCTACCTATGGTGCAGTAACTTCTCAGTTGTTGCACGTCTTGTTAGAAAAATGCAATCAATGAATTGCATTCTGGCATGACGTGTGGATGTGTTGTCGAAAACAATAACCAATTTAGCAATGAACAAACTTGGCAAAACCAATTGTTTTAATACCTCTAAATTACAGAGGCAAAATTGAATCATAAAGAAAGAATTATTGTTAACTTGGAGGACTTATTTTTAAGAACAGCATCTTGATAATTGAAAAAATCCAAGGGTTTTGTTCAGGAACATCTTTGACTTGAACCAGACCCCAGATTTTCTGCTTCTCAGACAGTTATAAGGCAAAATGCTGATCTTGGAAATATATTTCTGATTCCACATAAACAAATATTTGAGGCAATTTGTACATGTATCTGCTAAATATGGTTATATTACGTCTCATTTGATATTTACAGAATTTTAATTTTATTATTACATGTTCAATAGGTATTGGATTTAACTATCAGACGAACAAAAAACCAAGTGTCTATTATACAAAGATAAAGTAATTTCAGATTTACAATCAAGTTTTTATCAATTATACACAAACTACTAGTATTTTAAAAGAGTGCTTCATGCAAACTGAGGATATTTTTAAATTTATACTTGCTGTGAAACTACTTTTATTTGTGGATCACCTATTATATTAACAACTTTTAAACATGTATTTCCTAGTTACCTGAAGTCATGGCTGAAGATATTTCTTCTTTAAATCTTTGCTAAGTTTTTCATTTTATTATTGATGTGAAGACAAAAAAAAATATCTTAATGTACTAAACATGTATAAATCAGGCTTTTACCATCAAATACCTAGAGACTCTGAGTCTTTGAGATCCCTGCACTGATAACACTTTTTGCCAAATAAACAAAATGTTTAGCATATGGGTAAAAACATGTAACTCATTTGCACTTTATACATTGTGAATGTACATGGATGTGTAAGTTATCCTTAAAATCATATTGCCATTGGTTACAGGACCTTGTCTACAATAGAATGTTATATTAGTGGAAGAGATTCAAGAAGGAATCATTGTATTTAACATGTCATACCCTTTGTTGGGTTAAATATAAGTGTGATTTATAAAAAGGTATCTATCTTCTTGTTTTCTTTTGTATTTACAGTAGTTAACTACAACACTAAATACAAAAGAAAATATTTCAAACATAATAATATTTATAAATCACAATGTACATGTATCACCTATGATTTGATAAATCTATTACATTTTAATGTTAATTTCACTACACATGCTACATATGTTGTGTTAAACCTTTATACTGCATTTCATTGAAAAGAAAGCACTTTTTAGCTCATCTGGACTAAAGGCCAAGTGAGCTTTTCTCATCACTTGGCGTCCTTCTTAGTAGTCTGTTAAACTTTTACAAAAATCTTCACCTCTGAAACTACTGGGCCAAATTTAATCAAACTTAATGACAATCAATATTGTGGTATCAAGTTTAAAAAATGTGTCCGATCACCCTGCCTGTCAACCAAGATGGCTGACACGGCTAAACATAGAACATAGGGGTTAATTGCAAATTTTGTGTATTATCTTGAAAACCGCTTTGAATAGAGAAAATCTGGCAGGGGTCTAAATGTTAAGGATGTTGAGATCTACCTGCTGTCCATTTAGATATAGCCCTTAAATGTCAAAGTTTATAAATTTTTTTGTCTTATTTTCAAAAACTATAATAGATACAGAGATTTTTTTTTAGGAAATATGATAAGCAAGACAAGATCTACAAATGAGTCAACATGGCTGAAATCATCCTTATTGGAGTTATTGCTCTTTAATGAAGATTTTTACCCTTTTTTTGCATTTTGTCTTATATACCAAAAGCTGTAAAAGCTTTTGTAATAGATAAAAAGAAACTTTAAAAAGCCAAAATGATCAACAAGTCAAGATTAACATATAAGTCAACATGATGGAACTCATCATTTGACTCCTTATTGAAGCTTTTGCCCTTAATGACAATTTTTATTTTGCGGTCGTATATTGGTATCACGTCGTCAGCGTCGTCTGAAGACATTTGGTTTCCCGACAATAACTTTAGTAAATATAAATAGAAATCTATGAAATTTAAACACAAGGTTTATAACCACAAAAGGAAGGTTGGGATTGATTTTGGGGGTTATAGTCCTAACAGTTCAGGGGCCAAAAAGGGGCCCAAATAAGCATTTTTCTAGTTTCCAGACAATAACTTGTGGAACGGTGTATGGATCTCCCTGAAATTATACTACAAGTGTCCATACCACAAAGGGATGGTTAGGATTGGCTTTGGGGGGTTTTGGCTCAGACCGTTTAGGAATTAGGGGCAAAAAAGTGAGAAAAAACAAGGGTGTCATGGTTTAATGGACAATTACTTAAGTACAAATTACAGTGTAAGGGAAGTAATTCAATGTTGTGTCTTTTTTTATGTTTCCGAGTTATTGGGTTTTATTCATTAAAAAAAGGGGGATTTTCCAGTTTTCAGACAATAACTCAAGAATGCTTTCACCAACTTGCAAGAAATTGTGGTCAATTGTTTATATCTATTGACATGAGCTCTCTTTTGATTTTTATAAATTTCAGATTTTACGTTTCCGTGTTACAGGGTTTTATTCATAAAAAAAGGGGGATTTTCCAGTTTTTGGCAAAAAACTCAAAAAATGCTTTCAGCAGTTCTTATGAAACTTTGGTGAATTGTTTATATCTATTGATGTAAGCTCCCTTTAGAATTTTATAAATTTTACATTTTACATTTCTGAGTTATGGGTTTTTATTCATTAAAAAAGGGGGATTTTCCAGTTTTCAGACAATAACTCAAAAATGCTGTCAGCAATTCTCATGAAACTTTGGTGAATTGTTTATATCTATTGATTTTCATAAATTTCTAATATGACATTGAGAATTAATTGAACTTTATTTGTTTATAGTCTGACAACAGATTTACTAAGTATTGCGCAACAGCACAGTGTATGGATCTCTCTGAAATTATACCACAAGTTTCCATACCACAAAGGGATTTGGGGGGTTATGGCTCAAACCATTTAGGAATTAGGGGGAAAAACAAGGGTTTCCTGGTTGATGGACAATTAAAAAATAGTACAATGTTATGTTTGGATTACCCCCCTTACACTGCTTTTAAATTATGTATAAAGAAATGTTGTATTGTCTTGAGGTGATTAGCCTTATATTTTTTAGAAGTTACTTTTGCGAATTTGCAACAGCATGGTTTATTGTACAAAAGCAAAAAATTGAGTATAAATTCAAATCATATAATCATATAACCAATTCTAAGTTCTTTGACTACAGTTATTCTGTGTCAGAAAACTATTATGTGTCAAATATTTAATTACAATCCAAATTCAGACCTGTATCAAGCGCGAATATTGTGTCCATTTTTGGCTCAACTGTTCAGGGTTGGACCTTTGCAGTTGTATCCAGCTGCGCTCGGCAAAGCAACTTATTAGGGCCCCGCCGAATGGCGGACGCCCTATAGTGATCAGTCTGTCCGTCCGTGTGTCCTTCCGTCCGTAACAAATTGTGTCCGCTCTATATCTAGAGAACCGTTATGATTTCAAAGTTTATACTTGACATGTATATTAACCAACACCAGAGGGTGTGTCATAATGTATGTACAACTTCCTAGGTCAAAGGTCAAGGTCAAAAACTTTGGTTTTAGTTGACAACCCCATGTCCTATGGTAAAGATCATGTCTGCTCTATATCTTGAGAACCGTTATGATTTCAAAGTTTATACTTGACATGTATATAAACCAACACCAGAGGGTGTGTCATAACTTATGTACAACTTCCTAGGTCAAAGGTCAAGGTCATAAACTTCGGTTTCAGTTGACAACCCCATGTCCAATGATAAAGATACAAATTTTTTACCACACATTATTCACAGAGGGGCCCACAGAGATGCTTGGAGATATTGATTTGATATTTTGTGTATTGTTTTATCATGACAAGTTACAGATCAAGTTCGAATTTTGTTCCAGTCTTATTATTTTGTGCAGAGTTATCGGTCCTTGGACTTAGAAAATTCACTCAAATAATCAGTTTTCCTCATTTTTTCATCATGCTTGAAGATATTGACTTGATATTTGTTATATAGTTTACACCAGGACAAGTTATAGATCAAGTTAGCATTTTGTTCTAGTACAATGATTTTTTAACCGGTAGGGGACTATGTATTGCCAGGCAATACTCACAGAATGCTTGTTTTTATATAGATAAGGAATACAGACTAGCTGTTCTACATGTACATGTAGCTGGTAAATAACATCACAAAATTGCTGCAATTTTAGAATTTTGCTGTTAAAGAAATGACTCAGAATATAGTTAATAAGAATAGAAACAGTTTTACAGGCTGATTTTAAATTTGCATTTTCATACTTAGGGCATAACACAGTTTTGATCCCACAGTGATTTTTTTACGAAAATTTGCATACAATCTATTTTTCATCTTGTCAATTCAAATATGTAATAAAAAATATACCTTCATGTACTACTTTTAGAGATAAATGGGGTCGAAATTTTATACATTTTACTAAAAATTCCGGATTCTTGGACATTTTTCGTTTGGGGAGACATACCTAATTATTCAGCCAAGGGTATAACTTAAATAAGTTATTAGAAAAAAAAAACATACATGTCGTTATTGTGGGCTAAAATATAAAAAAAATGATAACATATATGTATGTTACATGTTTCAAAGTGGCAGTATACATCATTTGTTTTGTTAAATTGTATTATACAAGTTCTATTGATATTATTATTGTCTCTATGTATACTAACTATAGAAAGATATAATAGTTCATAGTTTGCCAATCATGCATAGTACACCTATGTTATTACAGAAAAAATATACCTGTAATAACTAAAGGGTGTTATTACCATGATTACAGCTTCTCTACATAACTTCAAAGCCTTTGCTCAGATATTTCATGTTTAATCACAATTTATTTTAATTTAGTGTAAGAAATAATGATCAGAGCATGTAATGAGGTTCTGCGCAAGCTTCCAAGTAATTACCAAGTTTCTCATATATAGACCCAAAATTGTTCTTTTGAGTTCTTACTCCAATTTTTTAAAACTAAAATTTCATTGCCCAAACAAGTTTGTCATATGTTAAGCATGTTAAAAATTGTGTTAGGAAAATCCAAATTTCACTTTATGAATTTTGTATATGTAACATTTGTGTACTATGAATTTGTACCATAAGAATTTATCTTAGAATTGTTGTTGATTTGATTTTCTTCTTTTTCTTTCACATAGGTACAGCAACTGGTTGGTTATTAGAGTCACAGTGTGACGTTCCTCTATATCGGATCCTTTCAGGCATAGGTAATTGACAACATGAACATAATTGAAATATGAATATAAATCAGTCTACTTTGTACAAGCTGTTATAGAAACATTAATAAATATTGGCACGAATATGTTTAGGGTGGTATAAAAGATATATTTTTAGCTCGTTTGTCTCAAATGGCCATGATGAACTTGAACCATCACTAGGTTCTGTGTTCTGTTATATAATTTTTGAAAATCTTTATCTCCAAAACTATTGAACCCTAATTTTTTTTATAGCATACATCAAGCTACACACCCATTACAGTTGAAAATAGAACATCAGGGTAAAATTCAAGTATCATAGTTGTCTTATATCTTGAAAACCATAGAAGATAGAGATGAAAATGTTCAGAATGTCAAGATCTTCATATATTCAGTTTGTACCAAAATCACCAGATGAATACGTGAATGAGTTATTGTCTTAAAAATGTTAAACAACAATTTTTGACGAAATGTAACATCTTTCCCTTTTAACCTGAAAACTATAGTAAACGAACAGAACCAGTAAACAGCAAAGATGATAAACATTTGCAAGATCTACAAAATTGTAAATTTGACAGTTCTAATCCATAAAATGATATTTTAGAGTAGTTATCTGACACCATTTATGAAACTTTTTGACAAATTGTAGCATTTTTGAATATTTTCAAAAACTATAATAAATGGAAAAAATGATCAGCACTACAATATCTACAAAAATGCCAATATTTCTGTATCCATTTATTGACTACTTTTTGTCCAGTCAGGAGTTACGGTAATACTTATTTAAGTATTTTCATACAACTGTAACCAATGGGGAAATATTATGGCATGTATACCCTTTTTCTGTCTGTTGTCTGTTCACATGTCATACAAAAACTAGAGTATGTTTAAGTAAAAGTTAAACTTGTATGGTATATATTAGGGGTAAGGTAAGCTCCCTTTCAGTGTTTAAAATTTTTGGGTTTATTGTTCCAAAAGTTACAGGAAATTAACCATCAGATTCAAGACAATTTTTCACATACATTGTATTGCACACTCCACTATGCTAGGATTGATCTCCTCAAAAATTAATACCTTTATTGGGGTAACAAAAAGGAAGCTCCCTTGACTTGAACTGTTAGATTTAAGTGAAAAAAAATTATGTTGGGAAACCATCAATTGATCCCTTATAGGTGTTGTTGCCCTTGCAAAAATGATTTTTACAAATTTTTTTTAAAAGTTTTTTGCAGAAATTATGTTAGACATGTAGAATCTTTAATAGACAAAAATGTTCAGCAAAGCAAGAGTTATTGCCCTTTTTTTATTTTTTTTTTGGTTTTTTTGGAAGAAACTATGATAGATAGAGAGAAAAATGGCATGTTTAAACATGCATCAATATACATTAAACAGCAAAACATAAGTGATTATAGTGACATAGGTGAGCGAATCAGACATCTTATAGACAGTTAAAGGAGATTCTCACTTAAAAGTTTGAAATGCCTAAATACCATGATGCATCAAAGAATCTTTTTAGCTCACCTAACCCATTGGTGAAGTGAGCTATTCTCATCACTTGGCATCCATAGATGTCTGTTAACTTTTACAAAAATCTCAGTGGTCTTGTGGTAGCGTGTGCTGCTTGAGTGTGGGAGGTCGTGGGTTTGAACCCCTGCCAGATGAAACCAAAGACTTTAGAATTGGTATTTGCTACTTCTCTGCTAAGCACACAGCATAAAGGAGTAAGAGCAAAGACTGATTGTCTTGGAGTCAGAATAATGTGTTCAATAACGGTAAAAGGTGACGTCTTGTTGCGGACAGTTATCTTGTGAAATAGCATGTTAAAAATGCTGCTCATCATGATTGTCTAGTACAAAGCAGGGTTGATAACCTTATTTGTCCAACGCGTTGCGGGGGGACATCGAAATACTGGGCGTCTGTCCGTCCCTCCAGTCTTGTTAGTGCTCTCACATGTACAATTCTTGCCAGATTTGAATAAAACTAATATCATAGGTTTATATCAGCAATGTCTTGGACGAGTTCGAAAATATCAGTGCCAATCAATTATTTTTAAAAAGAGTTATGCCCTTGGAAACATTAATTATATTAAAAATTGCATCGTAAGTGCTCTCATTTGTACAATTCTTGCCAGAATTTTATGAAACTTATATCATAGGTTTATATTAGCAATGTCTTGGAAGAATTTGAAAATCAGTGCCGATCAATAATTTTTGAAAGAGTTTTGCCCCTTGGAAATATTAATTAATATGGAAATAAGCCTTATGAGCGCTATAATGTGTACAATTCTTGCCAGATATTTATGAAATTTATATTGTAGGTTTATATCATCAATGTTCTTGAAGAGTTCAAAAAACAGTGCTGATCAATTATTTTTAAAAGAGTTATGCCCCTTGAAAATATTGATTATATGGAAAATTGCAATGTTATCGCTCACATGTGTTGCCAGAATTTTATGAAACTTATATCAAAGGTTTATATAAGCAATGTCTTTGACACTTTCGAAAATAAGTTCTGATCAAATATTTTTAGCGAGTTATGCCCCTTAGAAATATAAATTATAATGTAAATCACATTGCATTTGCTCTGAAGCCTTTATTTCTCTTAAGATATTAACAAAAAGTTTTAAAGAACAAAAGAAAAGTACTTTTTTTTAGTTATTGCCCTTGTACCTTGAATAGATAAAATATGTGCAACGTGGGGGACATTTGAACTCTGTTCTTTTATTGCATTAACATGTTCTCATCCTGAATATGCATTTGATTTGATTTCGGCTGATTACTGGACCAATTGGGATCAAACTTGATTATCATCCTTGGGGCATCTAGTTAAAAAAGTGTCTGATGATTCTGCCTGCAAACCAATATGGCAGACATGGCTAAGACTAGAACATAGAGGTAAAATGCAAGTTTTATCTTTTATCTTGAAAACTGCTGAAGATAGAGAAATCTTTATTGAGTAGAAAAGTTAAGAATGGTGAGATCTACCTACTGACCATTTACATCAAAACTGTCGACCAAATTCTTACAGGGGTTATTGTTTTTAAATGACAAATATTACTTTTTTTTTTCTCTTTTTTGCATATTATGATAGAAACTAGATTAGATAGAGAGAAAATTTTAATATTAAAATGATCAGCAAAACAAGATCTACAAATAAGTCATTATTGCCAAAATTGTCAGAAAATGATGAGATCTACCTACTGTCCATTTACAACAAACTGTGAGCAGACTCCTAATAGGAGTAATTACCCTTAACTGCTGATTATTTTTTTTTACCATTTTTTTTCATTTTTGTCTATTATCTGGATAGAATGGAAAAAAATTAATAGCATTTTCCCCATTGTGGCCATTGTTGAAGATCCACATAAACCCAGGTGAGTGACACAGACTCTCTAGAGTCTCTATTTTTTCCCCGTCTTTTTATACTTTTTAGGTAAAGGGTTTTTGGGTTGGGAATGGCCTTCCAGCTATACCGAGGATTCAAAGAAGATGGGACTATGTGTGTTAGAATAAAAAGGTAATGGTGGAAAATTTAGGGACAACATTTGTTTAGTTATCATTGCTTGTTCAAAGAGTAATAAATTTTTCACTTTTGGTCCATTTAAACTTTTGAAAACAAAGATTTCCTTCCAATAAAGTTAAAAAAAGAGATCTTGTAAGGGAATTGTTTTTAAACTTTCAGTCTGTATATAACATTGTCCATCTGAAGTGAAAATTTAGGTAACAATTCAATATCAGCTCCTGTTTAAATGAATGAAACAATATTTGGTGTGAAAATTTGGGGCTGTATTCTAGATTGTTCACCAATTAATAATATTTTACTCCCATCCAGTATAGAGTGCAAAAATTGGCCTTAAATTGAATGTGAATCAATTAAATCAAAATTAGTCAAGAGATAACATTGAGTAAACTGATTTGGTCATGTATTGACAGAGTCAAAAAGCAAGGCTTCGGCGTGCTGCTTCGGCATTGGCAGTATCAACAATTTGTTAAAGTTTGTGATTGGTCGGTTTAGGGATAACCACTGGCGATAAATCAATGGTTTTTGGTATGCAGTTGTAGTAGTATTGGCACATTTTATTTCCATTGGATATTATTTGGCCATGCCTTCTCAGTCATGGTTTATTGAATTAAACATTTTTGCATAGTTTACATGTTAAAGTTTGTGATTAGGTCAGTTAAGGGGAACCACTTGTGATATTTGGTATGCAGTTTATTAACATTGGCACATCATATTTCCAGGGAAATTATTTGGCCATGTATATTCAGTCATTGTTCATTGACTTTGAATATTTTGCATATTTTACATGTTGAAGTTTTCAACAACTTCAACATTTGAATTTTTGCAAAATTACATACAGGCTAGACGGATATCTGTGTCAACAGAATATTATTTTTATTTTATTTTTATGTTATGCTTGTATACAATGATTGTTATAATTTTGCTCTTTCTGGTTGCTGTGATTGGCAAATAAAACATTAGTTTGTTTGTTTGTTTGTTCTGTTTTTTTTTTAAATTATTTTAATAGTTATAAGTTACTAATATTATTATATTGTCTTGCATGCAGCAATGTCACAGAAGGGTAGATATCTGGATGCTTATCTAGCAGCACATTAAAAACTTGTGTAAAGCTCTATATTTCAGATGGTAGAAGAGATGAATAATCCATATATCTTGTAAATTTGACTCACGTCTAACTCTTGAAATCAGTTGACTTCATGTTCTGCATCATCCATGAGTCAAAATATTTCTGCATCGAAATACAGTAAATACATAAATTTACTCTGGAGATAATATTAGGGTGACTCTAATTAAATCCTCTGAAAGTATAATGAACAACCTAAATTTTGTTCCTTAAGGATGTACTTAGGTCAGGTTTAGGAATTTTTGTCAGATGTTCAGACTCCTTAGTTTTTTTCCTACGATACAGGGTAAAATATTTTGCCCCATAACACCCATTTTTCTTCTCATATATGACTTCAATAGCTCATAAAAGGTCATTTACCGAAATTTAAGCAGATTCTAGATTTCTTTTCTTTCGATTTGAGACCCAAATAATTCCAATGCAAATATAAGGTACAAGTCAGAGTCAGCCTTTTCTCACCATTTTTTAAACATTCGCGAAAAGAAGCTCCATAACCTATCAATATTTTTAGCTTATTTTGTTCCTTAACTAATGCACTTCTGACTTATAGTAACAATTTTAAATTCTAGATTTTTTTAATTTCACCTATTTTTTGTTAAAGTACATCCTTAAATCAAAATGTTTCACACCTCCTGTCAAAACTTGACACATGTACAAGGATTAATGTTTTCAACACACTTTATGTATAAGTTTCTTGGATTTTGATTGGTTAATAGCTACTGTATTTCAGATTTTTTTTTATAACAATGAATATTATTCATTTCCCACCATAACTGGGGTAAATGTTTAACTTAACCATATAAATTGGTATTCAGTGTAATTTAACAGATATATTTCATGTTAAGAAGGGATATTTTGAAAAAAAATACTTACTTGCAACTGAGATTTATAGCAATTACCCCATCTTAACATTAATATATCTTTTCAAGACACCTGTACCTTATTCAAGATATCAAGCATTTTGTTTATTTAACACTTTATAAGATAATTAGATATGTTTATCATGTGAATGTTGCACTCTTATTTAAATTTTATGAGCTTGTTAGCATCAAAGTGTCCTAAATATCAGAATATGTGGAGATGAAAGGTCATGTGTATAATGTTATGTTTGGGTCATTTTAAAACATTTCATCAACATTGTAGTATTTTCTTCAAAACTTGACAGAATTCATTTTAAGTTCTCAAATTGAGAAAAAAATAATATTTGAGGAACATCATCTAAAATGAAACACATGATTTGGATTGATGTCCAAGAGTACAATGTGTGATTAGATAAGCTGGATTAGCAATACTTGTTTCACCTTGTACAATTTGGGAATAGTCTTAATGTAATGGTTTCACTTGTGTTCCCTTTGAATAAAATTTTGTTAATCAGATTGAAAACTTTTATCACTATCGATTTTAGAGATAATGAAAGTAGACTATATAGATGTCTAATAGTCGAGTTTCTATCTAGCATCAATGGTCATATTTCCATGACCTCTTTTTCATGATTCAATGACTTCATAAAAAACAATATTTTTCAGAATATGTATTTTTCAGTTAATATGAGTAAAAGGACAACTATTTTTGGTTTATAGAAACATTGCATGGTCTATTATGCTCTCATTTCATGGTTCTGTGATCAACATATAAGTTTTCGTGATTAGGGGAGTTTCTATAATACTGTAGTTAATGGGCAAACTATATTTGGTATACCAAATTATTTTTAGGATACAGGGAACATCTGACTTTGACTTCATAGTCATTTAATTGTTTATTGATCAATGCTTAGTTCATTGTATCTCAGTTACCATAAATGATAAGTCAATATATTTGATATGTAGAATGGTTGTGAAGGGTTCTTGTCCATCAGGCAGGGTTCATCTGACCTTGACCTCATTCACTGTAATTACAAGCAGTTGACACTTCAAAGTAACACCCATCTTAGTTTGTACATTGCATAAAAATGAAAATAATTATTATATGTTGAAGAATGCATTATGTATTTTTCAGTTTGGAAGTTCAAGAAAACAAAATGGATGAAGATGACATGATGGGAAGTGGGCAGTGGAGGAAAAGACCTTTCCAGGATGATGATATGTATGGAATAGGAGCATATCCATCTGATCCATCATATAGAGGAATGGAACCTCCATCTACCAACTACCGTAAACAAGATCCATATCAAAATTACAATCAGTCTTATACTGGTGGATATAAAGAACAAGGTGGTGGAGGAGCAAGCAGTCAGGAATCTGAGATGAGTGGAAACAGTTGGAGTTCTTTCTTTGATGAATCTGGTTCATTTAATCCTGATGGAAGCACACCTAAACCACAAGCACCAAAACCTAAACAGCTAAGTCTAGGGTATGGTGGACAGAGTATGTATTCTCAAGGTTATGACTTTTCACAGGATGTTCCCATAGAGAAGGATTATAACCAGTGGGGTCGTGGAGGTGGAGGTGGTGTCAAAAGAAGTAAACCAAACAGGGGTGGTAGAGGTGGACGAGGAGGAGGAGGTGGGCAGTCTACAAAGCCTTGGGGACAAGGACCATCACCATGGAGTTCAGGAGGTTCTTCATGGGACGGACCTTCATCATGGGAGGATACTTCTAGCTGGCAGGATCTGGGGTATAGTAGTTATCCACCAAAGAGTGAAAATCAAAGAGGAGGTTTCAAGAGAGGAGGTGGAAGAGGAGGTGGTGACCGTGGTAGAGGTCAAGGCCGTGGAGGAGGAAGAGGGGGTTTTGATCGTGGCAGAGGTCAAAGTCGAGGAGGACAAAGAGGTGGCAGAGGAAGAGGAAATCAAGGTAAAGCAACTGTTGCTTGACTGACTAACAATAAAAAAAGAGAAGATAGCAAGAAGTAATGGTAACCAAAAACCAGAGTTCAGTGAATGGTTGACAACACAATTGGGGGGGGGGGGGGGGAGGGGGGCAAAAAGATACAAGACACTTCACAGAAACAAAACACAAACCCTAATAAAAAGATATTGAGCAAAACACAAACCCCAATAAAAAGTCATGGTATACTCCTCTGCTCAACACAGTATAAAGCTATTTGAGCTTGTTTTTTGTCCTTGCTTACCCCAAAAAGAAAAATACATACTCCCAGCTGGTGCTAGTATGTTACATCTTCAAGATTATCAATATGCAACAGACATGACAGATCAGGTGATTGTTAAAAAAGATGAGTTTTTATTGCTTCTTCAGTAAGTTGAAGCGACTATTGAAATGCCAATCCACACATTGGATCTGTATATTTATAATCTACAGGAGTTCAGCAAAATAAACCAGGAATGCCACCAAACCAGATTGGAGGTTTTGCAAAAAAGCGAGGAGGAATGAAACAAACAACAGTACCTCCAGTTCACAGTATGGCTAATGTAGCAAAATTAGATGTTTCCCAGATGTCAACAGCTGAAAAGATTCGTAGATTCTGTTTATTTTTACAAACTGATGTCTCAAAAGTCAATGCCATCCAAACAATAGAAAATGGAATTACTGGAAGCAAATTGGGTTTAAAGACAGAATACAAGGTACTTACATAATACTTGACCTAATACATATACAGTTCATACATGATATTACTGTGACTGTTCAAAACAAACATGATATTATTTGAATTAGTTATAGATGTTATGAATTGAATACTTTAAATATAAAGTATTCTTTCTAAAATTGATGTCAAATATTCTCAGAAATTATTGTTTTCATACAAGAATTTGTATGATTTTGATTGTTTTTCATAAAATGAACTTCTGACCTCACTTAAAGATTGTTCACAGTTAAAACCTTGAGATAAAAGAAAGCAGAAAATCTTATGAAAAGTAATAAATTTATTTTCTTTAAATGTTGCATTATATTACAAGATAGTTTTGATCAATTTTCTCATGTTAGCAGTTAGAAAAAATATGTTCTTCTTTTACCCCAGTGACAAGGATCTACAATACTGAATGAGAACACCTCTATTTGTTTGTCACTTTTCTGTTTTCCTTGATCAAATAAATCAATATGGCCTTCTACCTTCAAGGTAGTATGTAAAATGTAGTTTGTTTTCTTTCTTTAATGATTATTGCGTCTACCCAATTTTACAAATATTATAGACAAGTGGGAAAAATCAATTTCCATGATATAATCTATCAAAGGTCTTTGATAAACACTAATAATGGTTGTTTGAATCATGAGAATGTTTTATGTACTGGTATATTCATTTAAACGGAAATTATATTTTTTAAAGAATACACTTTGATGTATTCACAACTAACTTTTTAGTCTGTCCTCACAGTAACTTCTAGTGAATCAATAACTACCCAATCTAATTAAAATACGGATGCTGTGTCCAAGCTTTGCTTACAAGGACCTGACAACATTTGGTTGTACTTTGTGTTCTGGTAAGCCAATGAAATATTCAGCCTTCAAATTTTTTGAACATATGTATTAATTCAACAAAACAAGGGGATCATGAAAGGCCTCTAAAACAGATAGTAGAATGGGTTTTTTTTCAGATCCTTGTAAGCAAAGCTTGAACCAAGGCTTCCAAAACGGTCATATATTCCGGACATTTGTATAATGTCCGGTAAAAGTCCGGCTGGGCAAAGCACGAAACGGTCATCTACTTTTTATTAAGTCTCCCAAACGAAGTTTGGGAAGACTTATTGTTTTTGCTCAGTTCTTATTATTATTATTATTCTTCTTCCTCTTCCTCTTCCGCCGCTTTTAAATTTGAACTTGTCCGCACCCGTTCTCCAAAACCGCTTGTCAGATTAACTTAGGGTTTCACAATATGTTAGACTAACATGTCTAGTGGTGCAATCAGGGTTTTGTTTGTGCAATGGGGTTCATAAAGGGGTACTTTGAGGGGCAAAAAGAAAAGAGGGTTTTACTATAGAACCCTATGGGATTTTATTTTTTTAAATTTTCAAATGATTATAAATTGAAAACCGTTTGTGATAGACACAATCTTTTTAATTGAAAATGTTCTAAATGATAAAGCCCATTAAATGAAATACAGGGTTAGTCCCCAGGGGTCATCCCCACCCCCTGCCATTTAAGAAAGTTCTAATACCTTGTAAGTGGTCAAGATCCCCACCCCTAAACCATATATATTCTGGTTTGTCATGCTAAGATGGTTTGAATGATATACAGGGTTAGTCCCCAGGGGTCATCCCGACCCCCTGCCATTTGAGAAATTTCTAATATCTTGTAAATGGTCGAGATCCCCACCCCTAAACCATATATATTCTGGTTTGTCATGATAAAGCACATGAAATGAAATACAGGGTTAATCCCCAGGGGTCACCCCCACCCCATGCCATTTAAGAAAGTTCTAATATCTTGTAAGTGGTCAAGATCCCCACCCCTAAACCATATATATTCTGGTTTGTCATGCTAAGATGGTTTGAATGATATACAGGGTTAGTCCCCAGGGGTCATCCCGACCCCCTGCCATTTGAGAAAGTTCTAATATCTTGTAAATGGTCGAGATCCCCACCCCTAAACCATATATATTCTGGTTTGTCATGATAAAGCACATGAAATGAAATACAGGGTTAGTCCCCAGGGGTCACCCCCACCCCATGCCATTTAAGAAAGTTCTAATATCTTGTAAGTGATCAAGATCCCCACCCCTAAACCATATATATTCTGGTTTGTCATGCTAAGATGGTTTGAATGATATACAGGGTTAGTCCCCAGGGGTCATCCCGACCCCCTGCCATTTGAGAAAGTTCTAATTTCATGTAAATGGTCGAGATCCCCACCCCTAAACCATATATATTCTGGTTTGTCATGCTAAGATGGTTTGAATGATATACAGGGTTAGTCCCCAGGGGTCATCCCGACCCCCTGCCATTTGAGAAAGTTCTAATATCTTGTAAATGGTTGAGATCCCCACCCCTAAACCATATATATTCTGGTTTGTCATGCTAAGATGGTTTGAATGAAATACAGGGTTAGTCCCCAGGGGTCACCCCGACCCCCTGCCATTTGAGAAAGTTCTAATATCTTGTAAATGGTCGAGATCCCCACCCCTAAACCATATATATTCTGGTTTGTCATGATAAAGCACATCAAATGAAATACAGGGTTAGTCCTCAGGGGTCACCCCCACCCCCTGCCATTTAAGAAAGTTCTAATGTAAGTGGTTAAGATCCACACCCCTAAACCAAATATATTCTGGTTTGTCATGCTATGATGGTTTGAATGATATACAGGGTTAGTCCCCAGGGGTCATCCCGACCCCCTGCCATTTGAGAAAGTTCTAATATCTTGTAAATAGTTGAGATCCCCACCCCTAAACCATATATATTCTGGTTTGTCATGATAAAGCACATGAAATGAAATACAGGGTTAATCCCCAGGGGTCACCCCCACCCCATGCCATTTAAGAAAGTTCTAATATCTTGTAAGTGGTCAAGATCCCCACCCCTAAACCATATATATTCTGGTTTGTCATGCTAAGATGGTTTGAATGATATACAGGGTTAGTCCCCAGGGGTCATCCCGACCCCCTGCCATTTGAGAAATTTCTAATATCTTGTAAATGGTCGAGATCCCCACCCCTAAACCATATATATTCTGGTTTGTCATGATAAAGCACATGAAATGAAATACAGGGTTAGTCCCCAGGGGTCACCCCCACCCCATGCCATTTAAGAAAGTTCTAATATCTTGTAAGTGGTCAAGATCCCCACCCCTAAACCATATATATTCTGGTTTGTCATGCTAAGATGGTTTGAATGATATACAGGGTTAGTCCCCAGGGGTCATCCCGACCCCCTGCCATTTGAGAAAGTTCTAATTTCATGTAAATGGTCGAGATCCCCACCCCTAAACCATATATATTCTGGTTTGTCATGCTAAGATGGTTTGAATGATATACAGGGTTAGTCCCCAGGGGTCATCCCGACCCCCTGCCATTTGAGAAAGTTCTAATATCTTGTAAATGGTTGAGATCCCCACCCCTAAACCATATATATTCTGGTTTGTCATGCTAAGATGGTTTGAATGAAATACAGGGTTAGTCCCCAGGGGTCATCCCGACCCCCTGCCATTTGAGAAAGTTCTAATATCTTGTAAATGGTCGAGATCCCCACCCCTAAACCATATATATTCTGGTTTGTCATGATAAAGCACATCAAATGAAATACAGGGTTAGTCCTCAGGGGTCACCCCCACCCCCTGCCATTTAAGAAAGTTCTAATGTAAGTGGTTAAGATCCACACCCCTAAACCAAATATATTCTGGTTTGTCATGCTATGATGGTTTGAATGATATACAGGGTTAGTCCCCAGGGGTCATCCCGACCCCCTGCCATTTGAGAAAGTTCTAATATCTTGTAAATAGTTGAGATCCCCACCCCTAAACCATATATATTCTGGTTTGTCATGATAAAGCACGTCAAATGAAATACAGGGTTAGTCCCCAGGGGTCACCCCCACCCCCTGCCATTTAAGAAAGTTCTAATATCTTGTAAGTGGTCAAGATCCCCACCCCTAAACCATATATATTCTGGTTTGTCATACCAAGATGGTTTGAATGATATACAGGGTTAGTCCCCAGGGGTCACCCCCACCCCCTGCTATTTAAGAAAGTTCTAATATCTTGTAAGTGGTCAAGATCCCCACCCCTAAACCATATATATTCTGGTTTGTCATACCAAGATGGTTTGAATGATATACAGGGTTAGTCCCCAGGGGTCATCCCGACCTCCTGCCATTTGAGAAAGTTCTAATATCTTGTAAATGGTCGAGATCCCCACCCCTAAACCATATATATTCCTGTTCATCATGTCTCGAACATTTGAATGACGTATACGGTCAGTCCCCACTGGGTTCCCCCCTCCCCCAATGTTTTAATATCTTGTAAATGGTCGAGATCCCCACCCCTAGACCATATATATTCCTGTTCGTCGTTTCTCGAACATTTGAATGATGTATAGGGTCAGTCCCCAGGGGTTCCCCCCACCCCCAATGTTCTAGTATCTTGTAAATGGTCGAGATCCTCACCCCTAAACCATATATATTCTGGTTTGTCATGCCAAGATGATTTGAATGATATACAGGGTTAGTCCCTAGGCATCACTAATGCATTAACTTTACTGGACCAAACCAATTTTCACTGGACTTTGTCCAATGTCAGGCGACACTGGGAATTACGAATTATGGGAGCTTCGTTTGGGAGACTTCGTAACAGCATCCTGTTACAATCATTTCTTGTTTTTCAAGGCTTTCTTAAGAGACGGTCATTTTAACATAATTCGCGATCTTTTTGACCCAACCTTTTGCCTTTAACAGCCACACATTTCCAGTCATAAAAGTGACATGATCATTAAGTACTATCAAAACAACCCCTACTTTAATACCTTCTCATTTTAATCAAGGCTAATTAGTTGTCGAACAGCTGAAATTTACCTGTTCAGGTGACAGGTAAACTATTTTGAACCGGACATTGATTGGTCTATTCAAAGTTATTTTCATACATTTCACCGGTTTGCATCTAATTAATTTAGTCAAAAAGATTTAAATTATCAGAAATACATTAACAAATAATATTTGATGAAAAAATTAAAGAGGTGAAAATGAAAAATCGTCATAACCACGTTGTTTGAACCAGAGACACGTCTCTGTTTGAACTAGTACACGTGTGCGCATGTGCATGTGCGCAGGTGTGAAATTTAATTATGAATCCAAGGATTTCTATACAAATCCTTGTGAATCCTAATTTCTTTTAAAAATGCTTAAATTGTCATTGATACCTTTATCTCACGTTTATTTCGAATATTTTCTTGAAGAAATAACATAGAATGAGCTACTTACACTCATTCATGCTTTGCAAACGCACACGGAATTTACGAATCCGTCTCTGGTCCATGTTTTACCATTGTCAAGATAACATCCGGTTTCAGATTTAAAAACGAAAGTAAAGTTTTTGACAACGTTATTTTGCACAAATAAAGAGTCTAAGGCAGATATAAGTACGCTGATGTTGCACACTTCGGATGATGCACTGCCAATTTAACAGTTTACGTCAGAACTTCGAATTTGAATCAAAGAAAGTTTAATATCGTTTTTTTTAATATCAATCATTGGGATGGCCAACTCGGCAACTGATTACCATAATTGCCTTTTGTTTATTTAGTCTTAAAGGATTAAAATCGGGATAATATATAAAATGTCCGGCTGGCTAAAAATAATTTTGGAAGCCCTGGCTTGAACATAGGATCTGTATTTTAATCAGAGTGATAACTACCAGTTCACATGAAAGCACGTATAATTTACAAGTTAGATAAACATAGGATAGGTATCTTCATCTTCTGGTAAGCGGCCACCATCAACTGGTTGACTATTCTGCCACATTTTGGTATTGTACAACATATTATTGCCTGTGAACCTCAATACATCTGTAAGTTTTTGTTTAGGTGGATCCTCAGAAGTTTGTAGGTCAAACAAAGGTTAAACTTTATACTTGGCATATTTTAGATTTTTAGCTCACCTGGCCCAAAGGGCCAAGTGAGCTTTTCTCATCACTTGGCGTCCGTCGTCCGTCCGTCTTCGTTGTCCGTTGTCGTTAGCTTTTTAGAAAAATCTTCTCCTCTGAAACCACTGGGCCAAATATAACCAAATTTGGCCACAATCATCATTAGGGTATCTAGTTTAAAAAATGTGTCCAATGACCCCGCCAACCAACCAAGATGGCCACCATGGCTAAAAATAGAACAGAGGGGTAAAATGTAGATTTTGGCTTATATCTCTGAAACCAAAGCATTAAGGGTAAATCTGACATGGGTAAAACTGATTATCAAGTCAAGATCTATCTGCCCTGAAATTTTCAGACAAATCTGACAACCTGTTGTTGGGTTGCTGCCCCTGAATTGGTAATTTTAAGGAAATTTTGCAGTTTTTGGTTATTATCTTGAATATTATTATAGATAGAGATAAACTGTAAACAGCAATAATGTTCAGCAAAGTAAGATCTACATATAAGTTGTCATGACCAAAATTGTCAGTCGACCCCTTTAGGAGTTATTGCCCTTAATAGTCAATTTTTAACAATTTTTTGTAAATTTTTGTAATCTTTTACAAAAATCTTCTTCTCTGAAACTACTGAGACAAATTTAATCATACTTGGCCATAATCATTATTAGGGTATCTAGTTTAAAAAATTTGTCCGATGACCCCGCCTTCCAACCATCATGGCCAACTTGGTTAAAAATAGAACATAGGGGTAAAATGCAGTTTTTGGTTTATATCTCTGAAACTAAAGCATTTAGAGCAAAAATGTTCATCAGATTTAGATTTATCTGCCCTGAAATTTTCAGACGAATCCGACAACCCGTTGTTGGGTTGCTGCCCCTGAGTTAGTAATTTTACAAAAATTTTGCAGTTTTTTTGTTATTATTTTAGATATCATTATAATATCTAATATCTAATACTATTAATTATGATTTTAACCTTATTTTACATGATTTCCAAAGCATAAGTAAATACAGGTGAGCGACACAGGCTCTTGAGAGCCTCTAGTTTATCAAATTGGCAGACCATACATGTATTTGTTATAACTAAGTACTCTTCAACAAAAAAGCTTTATTTCATAGATTAAATGTCTGATTTTTGCTTCAATTGCCTAGTCAAGTTTGTCTTATATTGCACAACTGACTTGTATCATATTTTTTCTTGTTCATGAGATATATTGGGGAACATAACAGACTTTTTGTTTGCATCACTAGCTACAAGCACAAATGCATTCAGATATACTGAAACAATGCATCACTTAAATGTTTGAAATCAAGGATACTTATCAGTTATCAAGAACAACATTTCTGACATTGATTACAATGTTTAATGCCAAAACCATAGGAATATATGAACAAAATAAGTTAAGAAAATGTTGTTGTTGCTGCAATAGAGTTGGAGAGAAGGAATAGAGCAAGCAAACTTAGGCCTTACAAAATTGCATAAAACTTATTAGATATGAAGTGGGTTTAAACAAATCATATAACCCAGTTCGTGAAGGTACTTGAGGTATTTATAAATATAACACTTATTTCCTGGAAAGCTGTTTGAAATGGTTTTAGCAGTTTTTCATGTTATTTGATTCTGACAGACTTTTTGATGTAAACTTATGTATATATTTATTGTAAGAACCATAGCTGATTATCTTCATGTTTTGAAAACATTATTCAACTTACATCTTACTGCAACTACAAAGTTGAACAAAGATCGAAAAAGATAGTATATAAAAAAACAAATGGTACGACAGAAATATGTATTTGTTTAACTTTATTTTAATCTTCATTTAAAATGTAAAATCACATTTTATTATTTTTTTTTTAAGTCATTATACATTTGCAACCTCAAGCCTCAGAATTAATAAAAAAAATTCATAGATACTTGTTAAAATCATTTTTTTATGGGGAAAAAATCAAGAGAACCATAAATGATGAATGACATTTCATTATCACATTTATATATTTTTTCAAACATACCACATTACTATTATAATATTTATGCCTTTTTATAGTGTGAAGAACTTATGAAAGTTGCCAACAAATGGATGTATACAGGTTGTCTGCATTTGTCTGGAGTTTTTCTAGCTCGGTCTGTTGGTGGCAACAAGAAGGAGGTCAAACATGACACATATTCAAAGGGATTAGATATACTGAAGTCCAAGACAGTTGCTGAAATATATTCTGGTATAGACCCTGGTCCTGATGCCATCAGGTTAGTTATACTATGAAACAAAGCAAAAATACAAACAAAACAAAAACAAAAGCTTAATGCATTTTAAGGTAAGACTTTTTTTAATGATTATTTTTGTGTTTGTAAGTTTCAGAGGTGAAGGTATGCTATTATTTAAAAACATATTAAGATATGGTACTATTTGTTTATCTTTAACAATAAAGTCATGTTTTTTAATCAAGAAAATGTATAATAACATTGTATAATGTAATAAAGTGGAGAGCAGAAGCTTTTTGTTATAGAAGGAAGAATGATAGCAACTACTGAATAATATCATTGAACCTCCATTACTGTTGAAAAAATAAATTAATGTGGACTTGCATGAAAAATAACCACTTTCAGGAATTAAAATGATTGATGCCTTTTTGAAACAGTGACATAATTACATTATGTTTCTTTATCCCAACCTAAATAGGGAATCAGTTGAAAATACTAACAGATCAGTGGATTGAACAATAATTCAATTTATTCTAGGTTAGATTACAATATCTAAAAAAAATAAGCATAGATTATATACAACTTGTTTTACTTTAAGTTTGTAACATCCACACAAAAGAAACATTTACCAAACCTGAATCTTTAGAAAGCAACAGACATCAAAACAAATCACAAATTTTGATTTTAAGTGTAAATGTTTTAATATTTTAAGTTTTAAATTTCTTTTGAACTCATTTTATAGAAATGAATTAAGCAGTTCATTAGATAAAGATATGGACATCAGTAAGCAAGCATCTAATGCTTTACAGAAGCAAGAACTGATTGCAACAACTTTAGCTACAAAAGAAGAAGGATTTATAAAACTGGTCCATTATCTCAAAACTTATGAAAAATTACCTGAATCGAAGATTGGAGCCATTGAACAAGCTGTTACTGCTTCTAAATGTGGATTGGATCATAAGTATGAGGATCGACAGGCTAGACTGCCAACAGGAAAGATGATTTTCAGGGGAACATTGACCATTGAAGGTATTGTCATTGCTCGCTCAACTGGTCCCAAAAGAAAAGAAACAAAGGCACAGACATATGCTATGGCTTATGAGAGTTTTAGTGATAAGCCCATCCATGAAATATTGAGAGGTATTCCTGATGAAGAAGACTTTATTAACAGTGAGAAAGCTCTCTTCAGTTCTCCAGATGTAAAGAAAAATATGACTTTAGAAGAAAAATTGACTGCCCTAATGGGAATTATCAAGGACACTCAGTTTCAAGAGAACAATATAAACACTATAGATTGCAGTGCCCTCCATTTGGGACTTACTCCAACTTGTATATACAGGAAAAGTATTGAAGATGGGTCATCAGGTAATCTCATCTGTGAACTGTACTTGGATAATGTACTTATTGGTACAGGTGAGTCAGAAAGGAGGAAAGAATCACAGATGGAGGCTTACAACAGTGCATACGATACTCTCTGTACATCCACCAGTGATTATATTCTGAGAGAACACAAACGTCTTAAGCCTGAAGATACTAATGATCCAAACATTGTGGATGTTTGGGTAAAAGGAGAAGGCAAGCATAACATTGACTCTAACATGGCTGGTTTGAAAAGGTACAGGCATAATCCAGATGATCCAAAGAAGACAGTGGAGACATTTGTCATTTTAGAACATGATGACTGGGCCATGGATAGGAAAAGGCAGGCATTCTGTATACTTAATTACAGTGCAACCTTAAATGGGATGCTACTTCAGTGGAATATTGAAGCAGATGGCAGTCTCTTTAAGTAAGATTAAGATTAAAGTATTGTGTAAACCTTGTTATAGTTAATGTTTAAAAGAATTTCATGGTAAAAGTCTAATTTGCTGAGTATTCAAGAAAAGCTTATGGACATTAGCAAAATGTAGCTGAAGTATTAACCGTAAATTACATTAAAAGAGGCCTGTACCATTTAATTGCAAGGTTGGACCAAATCAGGTAATGCAGGTACCTATTTTGTGATATTCTGTTCTTATAAATATTTGATGCCTTAAAACATACTTACATATTTTCCAACTTATAAATCTTTCATAATACAGCTTTAATTAATGTAGATGAATAATACAGCTTTAATTGATGTAGATGAATCACACAGATAAAGGATAATAATACCAAAAAATTATCGACAGCAACTAATCAAACAAGTACAGTCATAATTTGCATGACTATCTCAATAAAAATTACAGAGACAGTACATTCATACTTTCAGATGTGAGATCAAATTACAAGGACAACACATTGGAGAAGCATATGGACCAAGTAAGGGTACTGTAAGGAACTTGGCAGCTGCTGATGCTTTGTTTAGATTATATGAAACGCAGAGTGTTGTCAAGGTTAGTTTTAGTCCAGATAAAACCAAGTACATGTTATTAGGGAAGATATCAATACACACATTTTCATAGAAAGGAATATCCTCGAAAGACTTCCTATTTGGTCACCTCTACCTATATTTTACCATTGACTGGTTATTGAACAATTATTGCATCAAGGGTCAATTCTGCAAGTCATAGAAAACAACGCTTTCAGTTAGCTTACCTTTCTTTGTAAGCAATAGAAACATTGATCCCATTTTGATTATAAGCATATCTTATTGTTTGCAGATTTTTATTTGCAATAGGTCCTTCTTAAAGAATAAATACAGGAGAGGATGAGATATTATTTTTCAAGTCTCAAATACTTTTTCTTTTGCATAATTTCATTGATTGAAAATTAGATAATTAATTATAAAATTCTCACAAAAGATAAACAACTTTTGCATCCATGTGTGATATTACATGTATTGTGTCTATTTCTTCTTGTTTTGTAATTTACAGATTTTGAGAAGAGATGATAGTAAACTTTGGATTGCCTATGAGAATATAGCATCAAAAGCTGATGCTGTCAGGCAGGCCAGTGGAGAGGAAGAGGTCAAACCTGAGGAGCCTCCAAAGGAGGTGAAGGAAGGGGAACCACAACCTTTAGCTCCTCCTAACAAATGGGTGATGAAAATTGTTGAGGAAATTCTGAACACATTTAATAATAATTTCACACTTGATGAACTCATATTTGGTCCTGGTATGTATGCTTTGTTTTTTATACGACCGCAAACAAAATTTTGTGGTCGTATATTGGTACGACGTTGGCGTCTTCGTCGTCCGAAGACACATTAGTTTTCGCACTCTAACTTTAGTTTAAGTGAATGGATCTCAATGAAATTTTACCATAAGGTTCAATACCACAAAAGAAAGGTGGGGATTGATTTTGGGGGTTATGGTACCCACAGTTAAGGAATTAGGGGCCAAAATGGGGCTAAAAATAAGCATTTTTTTGTAACTTCCAGACATAACTTGTGTGTAAGTGTATGGATCTCTCTGACATTGTACCACAAGGTTCCATATCACAAAGGGAATGCTGGGATTGATTTTGGGGGTAATTGCCTCCAAATTTTAGGAATTAGGGGCCAAAAAGGGGCAAAAAACAAGCATTTTTCTAGTTTCATGACAATTACTTGTGTGTAAGTGTATGGATCTTTATGAAATTGTACTACAAGGTTCCATATCACAAAGGGAAAGCTGGAATTGAGTTTGGGGGTAATTGCCCAAAAAGTTAAGGAATAAGGGGCCAAAAATAAGCATTTTTCTTGTTTCCAGACAAGAACTTGTGTTCAAATGTATGGATCTCTCTGAAATTGTACTGCAAGGTACCATTCCACAAAGGGAAGGCTGAGATTGATTTTGGGGGTAATTCCTTCAAATTTTTAGTAATTAGGGGCCATAAAAGGGCAAAAAAACAAGCATTTTTCTAGTTTCAGGACAAAAACTTTTGTGTAAGTGTATGGATCTTTATGAAATTGTACTGCAAGGTTCCCTATCACAAAGGGAAAGCTGGGTTTGAGTTTGGGGGTAATTGCCCTAAACGTTTAGGAATTTGGGGCCAAAAAACAAGCATTTTTCTAGTTTCCAGACAATAATTTGTGTTCAAGTGTATGGATCTCTCTGAAATTGTACTGCAACGTACCATACCACAAAGGGAAAGCTGGGATTGAGTTTGGGGGGTGATGAATCATAAGGGGGTTCAAAAATCGGGGGGGGGGGGGGAGGGGTTTTCCTTTTTTTTCTTTAAAATTTTCCATTTTAAATTGGTTATTTCTGATTAATATATAAAAGCAAATAATAATGATATGGTTTGAATAGGTAAATTAAAAATTTTTAAGTTCTTAGACCACTTTCATTCTGTGTGAGAAACCTATGCTGTGTCAAATATTTAATTACAATCCAAATTCAGTGCTGTATCAAGCTTGAATGTTGTGTCCATACTTGCCCCAACTGTTCAGGGTTCGACCTCTGCGGTCGTATCAAGCTGCGCCCCAGCGGAGCATTTTATTTACAGTATGTTATAATTACATGCATAAAGTTACTTGGTCATTCATTTTATCTGTCAACCAGCGAAGGTAGCAACGTTTCTAAAGAAATCAAGTAAACAAAAATGACAATAATGACTATCAGTATTTTTTTACTTTTTAAGAAGATATCAATTACTGTAAATTCAGAAATTATTGGGTGCATTTATTATTGTGGATTTTGCAGAATGGACTAAAATGCGAGATTAATTATTGCAATTTTAAGGAAAATCTACATACAGTTATATGTATCTGAAATCAGAATGCGAGTTCTTATTATTGCGATACTCATTCAGTCGCATTATTCGCATTTATAAAAACCTTGCAATAATTTCTGAATTTACAATAACCAAAAACTTTTATAAAGCTCTCCTGCATTATGCAGTAGAGCTCAGCATACCATATATAGTTTGTTCATTTGCTTTCTTAAATATTTGTGTACAATAGAAACAAAAGAATGAAGCATGTAAAAACAGTACAAACATTTAGACAACCATGGGGGAAATTGAGATATACGTTAGATAACTTGGCAGGAAATAACGTATTTCGGGTAGATTGAGTCAGATGTAACACCACCAACTGGGGCCCGATCAAATAGAACATACCAGAAAGAAGTACATATTTAAAACAAAATAGTTCTTACACATAAATATCAAATTATGTAGAATATAAGTAGGTAATTTAGGTTTCAAATGAAAAGGTGCAGAACTGGTGATCCTTGTAAAACACCTTTTGACTGATGATTTTGAATAATGAAAAAGTGTATGAATGAAATCTAAAAATGAGGGTATTTATTTCCTGTTTCTCAGATATGATGAAGTTCCTGTTTAGTTATATCCAATGTTCTGGTAACCAGTATGCTCTGATATGTAAAAAAACGTATTTTGACACATCCTTCCCCCTTCCCTACTTGCAATTGAAAAATTAAACATAGAAAGCAAAGAGGGGGGCAAGATTAGGTGGTGTGTGTCTTATACAAATTTTAGTACACAAACTGGCCTAAAAGTGAGATAATGAGGTAGGACACATATGAGGAGATTTTTCAAGAAAAAATATGCCATAACTTTAAAAAAAAAAACAAAGGAGCATACACCTCAACTCATTTCGTTTTAGGACGAAAGTACCAGTAGGTTGATGTGAAGCTTTTATATTTTAAATAAGGAAGGGGTATACATTGAATAGTACATACTTTACTGAACTAGATAATTGATGTTGTGTTTATGATTTCAGGTATGCCTGTTCCTGAAAAGAAAGCAGTCACAGACCTAGCTAAACTTCTGGAGTTGAAAGTGAGCACTCGTCAGAGAGATGGTCAAGGGTATATTGTCATTCATAAAAGCAGGACACCACAAGAAATGGTCAAATGTTTGTCGCAACATCAAGGCACAAGTGGTAGATATTCCTTAATTGCAGCAGCCAACCTTCCAAAGCACTCGGACATAGAAGAGGAAATTCGTAGAACTACGCCAAATGCCACCGTTGCTAATCCTAAGCCCATCATTCAGACAAAGAAACGTGTGTCACATATCAAAGGTCAACAAGCTCAGAGTATTATGATGAGATTAGCTGGTGTTGCTGAAGCTTCTATGGAAACACTTCAGTTTAAACAAGAACCATCATTTGATCAGCCAAAGATAAATTGGCTCTGAATGTTCTGATTTTAGTATGTCTTGTTATTTCAAAAACCATATGGATGTTTCATTGGCATACATAGATTTCTAACATTTCACTACCACTCTATTAGGACAAGTGTAATGAAGCAGTTTTGTAATTCATATTGATGTCAACTGTTACAAAATCAGCTGTCAATTATCATTATCAGTGGATAAACATATGAAACTCAAGGCCACTTTTGAGATATATTCAACAAATTTTAAGTTTTAGGTACATGTATATTACTTTTTTAATTCATAGAAAACATTAATGTGTTGTTTTTTTTTTTTTTGTATTTATGTTTGTTAATTTTTTACAAGCTGGAGGGTTCTTTCAGACTGAAGAATGAATAAGTAGTAATTATATTTAGTTTAACATTATATCTACTTTGAAGCAACATTCCACTCCTGATGCTATTTTCTGAAATAATTGTCTTACTTGTATATGTCTAGTAACTTAGAAAAAGTAAATAAAAGCATTTAAAGTAACTAGAAGCTGGTCATTTCAATTGCTATGATAGGGTAATTTACCAAATTCATAAAAGTATAATATAATCCAAGTAACTTGATTATGGAACATATGAGAATTTTTTATCTTTGATTGCAAGCATTTTATTTCTTTTTTTAACATTAATATTATTGTGGTGTTAAAAGTTTGATGTTAATACTCCTTTGGACCAAGTTTCTGGCCACTGTCCTTGTTTTGAAATTGTAAGAATTTGTCCCTACTTTAAATCTGTGCCCTTTAGCTATAGGTAAACCGTTTCTGCAGATAAAATTTCTCTTTGTTTCATTGTTTGTTTTAGTATACACAGCAAAAAGTGCAACGCATGTTTTACATACGTTTTAAATAACGTCTGTAAAACGTACGTTTTACGTATGGAATACGCATGTTTTAGCCAACATGCGTTTAACGCCTGTTCCAAAACGGGTGTAAAACGCCCGTTTAGAAACGGGCGTAATACATCACGTACGTAAAACGTATGTTTTATAAACGCATGTAAAACACATGTTTTACATGTGTTTTACGTGCGTTTTCATTATATATTTTTGTGTTGCCAACCTTTTTCTCTCAAATTAAAACTTATTTAACATCAATTAAACATTTAACTTCAAGAGAATTTCACGTCAAATTGGTTAGGTTATTTTTTCACAATTTATTTTTCCATTGCTTTTCATTTTTACGAGCATATTTATAAATAGTGTATAAGCTGATAAAAAAATAACAACAGCATACTGCAAACATGAATATTTGCATAGCAATTAAAATTATCAGTTCATGCTTAACCTTTTAGTACAACATCCTCTTTAAAAAGCTATTGTATGTATTATCTAAACTTAAAATTTACACATTAAATGTGTGAATCAAGAATTTTAAAAATGCATGTGCAAATTTTCAGGTGAATTTATCTTATTGGCAATCATACCACATCTCCTTATTTTCATATGAATCAAAGAAATCAATGTGAAAAAGTTAAACATTTGTTTTACAAGAGAAATTTCACACAAATTTTAAACATATAAATTACCAATTTTTATTCCACAATTAAAAAAAAAAAATCTTTTCAAACTGTCCTTGTTTCTCAAGATTAATTTTATTTTACTTAAAAGGTATACTAGTAGTTACAGAGACATACAAGTACATGTATAATGTACAACTGTATTACAATGTATGTCTGTGCATAGATGTAATACCCATTACATCTATGGTCTGTGATACTAGTATATATAAATAATCTTATTAGATCTTGTTGTTTGGTAAGAATCATTTCCACCAAGGTTAGATGCAACTGCTGAGTCAATGGGAGTTAATTTTAAATAATATTTTCTATAACGGATTACAAATCATACTCATATTCATATAAATTTGTTTTATTTCTCATTGCCTTCCCGGCCCCTTTAAAATTATTGAGCAGTTAAAAGATGGCAACGAGACTTTATTTGTGGAGTAAACTAAAGGGGAAAGAATGGCCAGAACACTAAAAATATATGTACTACCATAACTACAAGAGACTGTCACATTTATAACATGTATAATACAATATATGCCCCCCCATATATATCATGTATCTTTATGTCTCTGATAGTCAGGTACTACCAGTTAACACCCCCTTACATGCTTAGCCTTACCCAATCCTGACCTTATGATTAAGCAACTGGTTTAATTACCATTTTAACAATATTTATACACTCAGAACAAAAGAAGTTTTACTGTTTGATGTGGGAAGCATAACAGAGATCATCCCAACTTGGATCTTTTTTTTCTTCCAAAGGGATAAATTGGTACAGGGGAGCGAAACATAGCCTCTACCTATAAGTTTTTACATGCAGAGAAAAGTAAAAGACGAACACAATATTCTCTTTGGCAGTAAATAATAATTTGAAAAGGAACAAGTTACAAAAAATTCAAGGACACTCAGAAATTATCAGCATATTAATTAACATTATCAGAGACATATAATAATAAGTAACCATTGAAACTATTTAAAATATGTCTATTTGTTTTTTCACAGATGCTATTAAAACCTCTGTGGTCAGATAAATGCATCAGATATTTATAAGTCATTATGAAATGGAGAAATCATCATAGCTAAAGGTTTTATTCCAAAATATACGGTTGGGAATATATTTTTGTTTTTAAGTAAGCACCTCCCCTAAATCAGCCTTTGGTTTTTCAATCTATTCTCATTTTACCAGAAGGGATCAGAAGGACATGTGGATGTGATATTTGCATGGTCTTATATTAATTTATTCTGTTTATAATCACAGTTAGTAAATATATTTCTGGGGGATTGGGGGGAAAGGGGGGGGATGAATGTTGTTTACGTTGACTGGTCTTCTGAACGGTCTAATATTTGCAGTAATTTCTATTCAGTATCTTTATATGTATAAATTACTGGATGGTCATGAAAGTGAACTGGACTGAAAGGCAAAAAAAATGTTTCATGTGACATCGAGCCCTCTTAATTATGAATTATTTAGCAGAGGCAGATCCAGTCATTTTTAATAGGGGGTTCAGGCCCAATCATGGAAAAAACAGGGGTGGGTTCTAACCATATGTCCCCATTCAAATGCATTGATCGTAAAAAAGGGGGGTTCCAACCCCCCCCCCCCCCCCCCCCACTAGATCCGCCCTGGGCACTTTTTAATTGCAAATACTTTCATAATTTCTGCACATTTGCCAATTGTCTTTACGCTCTCTCGGAAACTGAAACAATTGTTATATATATACTAAAGTTTCATGTTTTATTAGAAATATGAATAAAAGGAGATATGTGGTTAATACGTTAATGAGACCGTAACCCCCCAAAAAATAATTGCTATTCTTTGTTTTTATCTTTATTCATTTTGTCTCAATTAAAATCGAATGAGTGTGTGATTTTGTAAATAATTCTTAATACAGTGGCGTAGAGGTCATACGCTCACTTTGATTGGAAACTTATGATACCGTGATCATTTTTAGCATAAAATCTGCCAATGTTTTGGTCTTCTCAGTACAATGTCACCCCTTCCAAAAAAAATTGGACGCTTCTGTCCCTATCATACACATGTAAATATTGATCGTAGGCTCATGCTTACTCCGTGTAATAAGGTGCAAGGTCTCAATGTAGCCAGAATATCACCCAAAGTGGCATTTTTTGTCTTAACATTAGGCTATGGCTTTGATAGTCAAACATCAATCTGAATCTCAACTTTATAATGTTTTGGTTTTAGGGGGTCGTTGTTTGAACCCCGTGTCCCCCAAGGGGTCAGCGGCATTTGGGAGCATACACCATTCTTTTTATTCAAGCTATAAGATTAAGTTTTTTTATTTTCATTAGGAGACGATCGACCATTTGAAATGCCAGTAGAAAAGGAGTATTTTTTTCAGGATAGATATTTTTTTTCATTTGTTCCTACACTTGCTTATTCCAGTACCCCTTACTTTCAACTTTTTTCCCTTATCCTAGAAATATGCTTCTTGATCTTATAATTTGCCAATATATAGATATAAGAAGATGTGGTATGACTGCCAATGAGACAACTCTCCATCCAAGTCACAATTTGTAAAAGTAAACCAATATAGGTCATCAAAGTACGGTCTTCAACACGGAGCCTTGGCTCACAACGAATAGCAAGCTATAAAGGGCCTCAAAAATTACTAGTGTAAAACCATAAAAATGGGAAAACCAACAGTCTATAAATCTATATAAAAATCGAGAAACGAGAAACACTTATGAACCTATGGGTCTAGGATGAAATTTGAAAAAAGGCAGGACAGGAGTTTTCAGTGAAAAAGGCAGGGTGACAATTTATGTAAAAAAAAAGACACAGGATAAACGAATAAAAAAAGGCAGGACCGAAATAGAGTGAAAAATAAAAATGCAGGACAAAATTTTTCATTTTTCATCCTAGCCCCACCCCCCCTCCCACTAAAAATAAATCAAACGGTAGCTCCCTAAGTATCCTGATTAAAAACATAGGGATTGTTTAAAATCATAACGATGGAAGAACTATAATGATGGCCGTATCGTTATGTTTATACATGAACCCCACTCATACTGTTTTGCTAAGAATGCATGGGTCCTCATTTCAGAATCTGGGATCGTGAGGGCTTATTTAAAGTTATGTGTCTTGGTGTGTATGGATTCAAAATTATATAAAGTTAACAAGAATGCATCTACAAAATAAACACGGAAGGGGGTTTGCCATTTTTGCCAAAAAATGTACCTATTTTAATATAACATATTCACTGAATTTCAGTACCTATAGTTATGTTAATATCAAAGAAAGAATGACCTGTACCAGAGACATAATTATTTTTAATTAATCCGCACAAACGTAGTGACTTTTGAACAGGTAAATTTCGCTCAAACGTAATGTGTTTCATCGCGCAAACGTGGATTTTTTTTCGCGCAAATGTAGGACGAATTCGCGCAAACGTAATGCGCCGGTGTATATATGTGTCTGCCTATATATTTATATACAATACTTAGAATATGTTTATATGTTTATATAACTGCACGTAATCTGTATCATCACTCATAATTCATAAATAAACAGCTACCCTCAAATTTCTGGAGTTCATTTTGAGGGGGCTTAAAAACATGAAATCCCGAGGTCCCGAATTTAAAGAAATTTAAATCCCGACATCCCGAAATTCGAAAAAAGAATTCCCGGATCCCGAAAGGATCAATCACGAAATCCCGAGCTTAAAAACACCCGATCCCGGAGTCCTGATAAAGGTCTGACCCCCCCCCCCCCCCCTCATTTTGGAACTTATTTGAAATGTGAACTTACAAACGAATACAGTAAGATTCCCAATAGCATATTTAATGTATGTGATATGTAGGTCATTTTTATATAAAATCTCGCAAAATTATGACCGATAGTTTTAGCACATCTCCGTTTACCCAATAATAGGGGAAGAAAACGTCAAGATAGTACGGTGCAATTTACCTATATAAACGTTATTATCAAATGTTTATTTTTTATCGAGTTTGCCAATTTCCGAGTCCAGTCTGTATTGTCTTGAAAATGCAGTATTTACAATACTAAAAACATTAAGACTTGATTAATAAGTTAACGGAATATAGAAATAATGAAAATGCTTCAGCGGGAATCCCAGTTACGTAATCGGGAAATTTAGTCCGGATTCGGTTTTCATTTTAAACTCCGGAAAGATCTAGATGTTATGACGCAGACGACACCAAGGACGCTGAACCCGATTGTTCATCAGAAATGTTGCATGGTACTGCTATACAAACATACACGGACATTTGAATTAAAACATTGGAAATGGCATAAAAATGAGCAGTCCAAGCTGAGGCGAAGTATTTTATGAGAAGAAGGTCGCTTTTCAACTTCAAAAATGGGGACGACTTGTCTTGTGAACAGAACAGCCAACGCAACAAGAGGCAGATAATTTATTTTGGTAAAAAAATTGGTAGATCACTCAAATCACTTAAACAAACACACTACATTCTTTAAGTATGCTGAATGCAATGTTGAAACGTCAATCAGCGTTCCCATACATTTATATACAAACAAACAAACATTCATAACAACAAGACCGTTGAAAACGATGTCAAGTCCGTTCGTCCTTTATATGCCAAGTTATGGCATGATATTTTCGCCATGTGTTCGTTCGCCCTCCTTTTTTTTTTTAAATAAAAAAATGTATATTTAAATGGCATTAATGTTTTATAAACTGCATCAGATATTTATATCAAAAATAGTAGGGAGCAACCTTCAAAGGGGGGTAATGGTTTTTGTCCAAGTCAGAAATTATTTCCATTACTTATCAATTATATGAAAAGCCCTGTCAAAGGCCAAAGCCGTAAGTCTTGCCGTAACTTGGCGTAAGTAAACAATACATAAGGAATCTGCGCTCCCAGCAAAGGTGAAAGGTAATATTTTCTGGATTTCACAAACCCAAACCAATATGGGAAAGTATACATTTTAAAAATCTAAATTATATGAAAAGGGTTGGGTAAACATAGTGGCTATGCAGTTTGGGTTTTACTCATTTATATTAAAGGCTGTACGGTTGGTGACATATAGTTGTTAATTTCTGTGTCATTTGGTCACTTGTGGAGAGTTGTGAATGTCTTACTGGCAATCATACCACATCTTTAATATTTATATATAATATATATATGCTATGTAACAACTTGGACTATGGATATCATATACATGATCATAGGCGGATCCTGGGCGGGGGGCCCAGGCCCCCCTTCTTTTGTCGGAAAAATTTTGTTGATTATATAGGGAATAACTGAAGCATGACTGGAGCGGGGCCCCCCCTTAGGTCACTCAGTGCCCCCTCCCCCCCCCCTTATAAAAAAGTTCTGGATCTGCCACTGATGTAATATATGATTATAACAGATTAGAAAAAATGCCTTCATAATATGTAGAAGGCCAAATTTCCCTACCTACCCTATATTTTTAGCGAAGAAATAGCCTACCTTAAAGTTTTTTGGGGTATAATAAAAAAAAATCCCTATCTACCTACCCTATTTTTTCAAAGATGTAATAGGAAACACACATATCATTTTATTTGGCCTTAGGCCTAGTATCTATCCTGATATAATTAAATCTCAATAATAGACATATTTCTTGCATACTACCTTAACCACCATAATCCTTGAAGAATATTAATACATTGAAATGTAAGAAAATGCACACAGTGATGAGGTTCCTACAGTCTTCGCCAAACTATTTTGGAGTTTGTCTGAATGAAACAGAAATTTTACATTTTTCTACTTAAAACATTTTGTCGGTCAGACAGAGTTTGGGATACACTGACTTTTCCGATTTCAGACAGACACATGAAACTGGAGAATACTATTTGTATGCCCATCACTGTAGCGAAGGGGGTATTAAGTTTTGCCCTTGTCTGTCCTGTCCGTCCGTACATCCCCAAAATTGGTTTCCGTTTCCTAACTTTAGTTTGCCTCAACCAAATGTTATAAAACTTATTCACTATGCTTATTACCACAAAACACAGATCAAGATCAAAATTGGGTGGTGTCACCATTACCGTTCGTTCATGAGTTGTGTCTCGTTTATATAAACAAAAAAAATTCTAATTTTTTTTCGTTTTCGTAATCTAACAAGTTTGTCTTAACTAAATATTATGAAACTTATACACAATGCTTATTACCACAAATTGGGTGGTGTCACTTGTACCGTTCATGATTTATGCCCCTTTTATTAAAAAAAAGGGCTGAATCTGTAGTTTCTGTTCTTTAACTTTAGTATGTCTCATACAAATGTTATGAAACTGATGCTTATAATCACAAAATGAATCCTTCATCTGTATGTGGAAGATGACTCGTGGAGCAATGAAAATGACAAAAAAATAACAGGAAGACCTGTTCATGTGAATATGGTGTAAATCTACAAAACTGCAATGCCAAAAAGCACCACATTTTGAAGTTTAAACCTTTTTTAGAATTGTCAAATTGATATAAAGCTAAAAAAAGATACCATGCTAAAATCAAAATAAGGAGATGCAGCATGCCATGCAATATGAATGCCAATGATGAGACAACTATCCACCTGATGGTCACATCAACACATCATGTCATGATCATGTGACCATCAGAGTGACATCAACATGATACTTTGTACACATGTTCACCCACTGTACTAACTAGATTGAGTATGCTGAGATAGATTTGATGTACAACAGAAACATTATTGTTGGGACTGGTAAAAATATCAGTAATTTAACTAAGCCACCATCTATTTTAAAAATAAAGTAAATTTTGTAAAAATATTTGCAGATTATTTTGTACATGTATATATATGCATTAGAATAAATTTAACTTTTTGTAATTTTTCAGTGCCAATCACTCTTCCAACAACTGAAATTGGTAAGTATTAGATACTGTATTGAAGCAAACAATCATAAGCAGTAGCTATCAATCATGTCAATTTGTCATGTAAATTCTCATTTCCTCTTGGTGATTGAAAAATGTATGTCATTTTTTTCTTGCATCAGAGATGGAAAAAAAAAAATTATTAATAATCGGACATGCTGTTGCTTGCCAAGGCCTTGTGTTGGCAGGTCAACAATGGTTATTAAGTCGGCTCAATGGGAACCACTACTCATACAGGTCAATAATGTTTGGTACAAAATGTATGCAGTTGTATAAGAATTTTAACCACTTATGAGGGTCTGGATTGGGTTTATAGATTAGGGTATTATGGACACAATTACAGAAAAAGTCCAATAAAAGAACAGGGTTCCAATATGTCCCCCACCCTTTAGGCAAAAGATAGAGGTCAACTTTTGAATACAAAAAATTATCTACAAATACCTCCATACATGTATGGTGGAAATGGATCAGTCGACTCTTATTAGGATAAATCAAGTGATTTTTATACGACTGCAAAAAATTTTTTGTGGTCATATATTGGTATGTTGTTGGCGTTGGCGTCGTCGTCGTCGTCGTCCGAAGACACATTAGTTTTCGCACTCTAACTTTAGTTTAAGTGAATGGATCTCAATGAAATTTTACCATAAGGTTCAATACCACAAAAGGAAGGTGGGGATTGATTTTGGGGGTTATGGTTCCAACAGTTAAGGAATTAGGGGCCAAAAAGTAACTTCCAGACATAACTTGTGTGTAAGTGTATGGATCTCTCTGACATTGTACCACAAGGTTCCATATCACAAAGGGAATGCTGGGATTGATTTTGGGGGTAATTGCCTCCAAATTTTAGGAATTAGGGGCCAAAAAAGGGCAAAAAACAAGCATTTTTCTAGTTTCATGACAATAACTTGTGTGTAAGTTTATGGATCTCTCTGACATTGTATCACAAGGTTCCATATCACAAAGGGAATGCTGGGATTGATTTTGGGGGTAATTGTCTCCAAATTTTAGGAATAAGGGGCAAAAAACAAGCATTTTTGTAGTTTCATGACAATAACTTGTGTGTAAGTTTATGGATCTCTCTGACATTGTATCACAGGGTTCCATATCACAAAGGGAATGAGCCACACGTATACTATTTAAAGGCTGTAACAGTTAAACATGAACCATCTATTTAAGGGATATAAATTTCTAAACTTTTTTTATATAATAATGTATAAACTATAGTATTATTATTTTTTCTTTCTTAGGTTTGTCAAATACGTTCGTTGGTGTATGATCAGATCTGCATTATAGTATTAGTATTAAACAAACTGTAAAGAAAAGAAAATGATGTTTTAGGTAAATATAAATGACACATAGGAAATATGGAGGTATTTAAAGACAATTTCCAAACATGCCTACAAAATTTTTCATTTACTATATATTAAATTAAACTGTATTTGGTGTGTCAGATGATGTGCATTTCTGTCCGGCAGAATTAATCTGACCTTAGTTCGTTGTCGTCCGTTAACTTTTACAAAATCTTCTCCTCTGAAACTACTGACCAAATTTAACCAAACTTGGCCACAATCATCATTTGGGTATTTAGTTAAAAAAATTTGTCTGATGACCTGGCCTGCCAACCAAGATAGTCGCGATGGCTAAAAATAGAACATAGGGGTAACATGTAGATTTAGGCTTATCTATATTACTAAGTGAATAGAGTTGAAATTGGGTGTTTTCTTCTTTCACATAAAATCCACGAATATTTTTTTATACCACAAAGGGGTAATGACCAGCGTAGTTTATTATGTTTTCATTTCAGGATCTTTTGGGGGGTATTTGGGGATTAAAATCGCAAAAAAGTCTGTTCGGATCGAACGGCGTTTGGCTCTGAAATTTACGTGCCATCATCATTTTTGTCATTGCACGCATGCTCATTGCACGTCTGCCCAGCAAAATTAAATTTTATTTCGTAGCAAATACGGTATATTTTGACCTTACACTGAAACACTTTGTGATACCCTCTCAGCAATTTTACAACAGATTTTTACACGTCAAGAGCTTTTTCTTCCGGGGAACCGCATCAATTCAACATGAAAAGGGTGGTTTTTGGTTAAAAATGGGTACAGAAGTGCGGCTGGAAAGTTACCCATTCATATTAATGCATAAAATTTTCAGCCCACTCATATGAAGGGGTGGTCCAGAGCACAGAAACACTTGAAATCAGGTGCGGATCCAGGATTTGAAAAAATATCGCCTCACACCAAAACAATATATCTTCAAATTATGAACCAAAGTATATTTCGCGTGTATTTTCTAGTATCTTTGAAACCAAAGCATTTAGAGCAAGTCTGACGGGGTAAAATTGTTCATCAGGTCGAGATCTATCTGCACTGAAATTTTGAGACAAATCAGACAACCCAATGGCCATTGATGGGTTGCTGCCCCTGAATTGGAAATTTTAAGGAAATTTTGCAGTTTTTATACGACCGCAAAAAAATTTTGCGATCGTATATTGGTATGACGTTGGCGTCATCGTCGTCCGAAAACACAGTGGTTTTCGCACTCTTACTTTAGTTTAAGTGAATGGATCTCTATGAAATTTTACCATAAGGTTCAATACCACAAAAGGAAGGTAGGGATTGATTTTGGGGGTTATGGTACCAACAGTTAAGGAATTAGGGGCCAAAAAGGGGCAAAAAATAAGCATTTTTGTAACTTCCAGACATAACTTGTGTGTTAGTGTATGGATATCTCTGACAGTGTACCACAAGGTTCCATATCTTAAAGGGAATGCTGGGATTGATTTTGGGGGGTAATTGCCTCAAAATTTAGGGAATTAGGGGCCAAAAAAGGGGCAAAAAACAAGCATTTTTATATGGACAAATACTTTAGTACAAAACATAATTTAAAGCAGTGTAAGGGAGATAAATCAAATACATCATTTGAATTACCTCCCTTACACTGCTTTTAAATTATGTATTTAAGGAATGACTGTAATATTTTTTCTGTCTATTCGAAATAACATCAAAAATGTGGTGCACACTGAATAACCCGCGTAGCGGGTTATTTTAAAGTGTGCACCACATTTTTTATGTTATTTCGAATAGACAGAAAAAATATTACAGTCATTTCTTATAATTTAATTCTAAATTCCATTTTAAACCTGAGTAAACCATGAAAAAACGTTGATGACACATCACATGACAAAATTATGTCTATGAGCTGATAAACAAAACAACGTCAGCCAATCAGTAGACGCCTTACATCCAAAATTAAATTATAAAGTAATGGTTAATGAACAATTAAGACAATTTAAAACAGTGTAAGGGAGGTAATCCACATACAACGTTTTGATTACTTCCCTAACACTGCTTTTAAATTATGTTTAAAGAAATGCATATTTATAAAGGAAGACCAGTAAAAATATCTGCAAATGTTGCATCTTTTTTTTTTTTACAAAAAAATCCATAAAAAGAAATTGTGGGGGGTCAATTTTTTCTCATTTCAGATTTCAGAAATTAAAAAGAATTATTCTTCAAATATTATTTTTTTTTCAAATTTCAAATATTGAAAAATTTCAAGAAGTAATCTTTAATTGCACAGTATGGCGCATTAGATTTGTAAAATCTTTGACCACATTTATTTATTTGTTATGCCAAATCTGACCGTGTATTTAGATTTTTAATTTTGGGTCCAGTTTTCAAATTGGTCTACATTAAGGTCCAAAGGGTCCAAAATTAAACTTAGTTTGATTTTAACAAAAATTGAATATATGGGGTTCTTTGATATGCTGAATCTAAACATGTATTTAGATTTTTTATTTCGGGCCCAGTTTTCAAGTTGGTTCAAATTGGGGTCCAAAATTAAACTTTGTTTGATTTGAACAAAAATTGAATATATGGGGTTCTTTGATATGCTGAATCTAACCATGTATTTAGATTTTTTATTTGTGGGCCCCTGCTATCAAATTTGTTCATATTGAGGTCAAAAGGGTCCAAAATTAAACTTTGTTTTATATTTCATCAAAAATTGAATTATTGGGGTTCTTTGATATGCCAAATCTAACCGTGTATTTAGATTTTTAATTTTGGGTCCCGTTTTTTAAATTGGTCTACATTAAGGTCCAAAGGGTCCAAAATTAAACTTAGTTTGATTTTAACAAAAATTGAATTCTTGGGGTTCTTTGCTATGCTGAATGTAAACATGTGTTTATATTTTTGATTATGGGCCCAGTTTTCAAGTTGGTCCAAGTTGGGGTCCAAAATTAAACTTTGTTTGATTTCAACAAAAATTGAATATATGGGGTTCTTTGATATGCTGAATCTAACCATGTATTTTGATTTTTGGGCCCCGTTATCAAATTGGTCCACATTGAGGTCAAAAGGGTCAAAATTAAACTTTGTTTGATTTCATCAAAAATTGAATTCTTTGTATTCTTTGATATGCTGAATCTAACCATGTATTTAGATTTTGGATATTGGACCATAATAGGTAAATTAAAAAATTTTAAGTTCTTAGACCACATTCATTCTGTGTCAGAAACCTATGCTGTGTCAAATAAGTAATCACAATCCAAATTCAGAGCTGTATCAAACTTGAATGTTGTGTCCATACTTGCCCCAACTGTTCAGGGTTTGACCTCTGCTGTCATATCAAGCTGCACCCAGCGGAGATTTTATTGGTTATTATCTTGAATACTATTATAGATAGAGATAAATTGTAAACAGCAATAATGTTCAGTAAAATAAGATCTACAAATAATGGACCACTTAAGGAGTTATTGACCTTTATAGTCAATTTTTTACAATTTTAAGGAAATTTTTGTAATTTTTTACATAAATCTTCTGCTCTGAAACTACTGAGACCAATTTAACCAAACTTGGCCACAATCATCATTAGGGTATCTAGTTAACAAAATGTGTCTGATGACCCGCCTACCAACAAACATGGCTGACATGGCTAAAAATAGAACATAGGGGTAAAACGCAAGTTTTGTCTATTAATTTTTGAAACTAAATAAATAAGAGAAAATTTAAAAGGAGCAAAAATGTTCAGAATAATAAGCTCTACCAATTGTCCATATATGTCAAATTTAACCATTTTTTTCTCATTTTTATGCGGTCGTATATTGGTATCACGTCCTCGTCGATGTCCGAAGACATTTGGTTTTCGAACAATAACTTTAGTATAAGTAAATAGAAATCTATGAAATTTAAACACAAGGTTTGAAACCACAAAAGGAAGGTTGGGATTGATTTTGGGGTTTATGGTCCCGACAGTTTAGGAATTAAGGGTCTAAAAAGGGGTCCATATAAGCATTTTTCTAGTTTCCAGACAATAACTTATGTGTAAATGTATGGATCTTTCTGAAATTGTACCACAAGGTTCCATAGCAAAAAAGGAAGGTTGGGATTGATTTTGGGGGTTATGGCCCTAACTGTTTAGGAATGAGGGGCCAAAAACAATACTTTTCTAATACTTTGTATAAATTGCTTATTTCTTGACCAATTTCAATGGAGTTTTATTCTTGAATTCTTGGGGTTCTTAAATATGCTGAATCTAACCGTGTAATAAGTTTTTGGATTTTGGGCCCAGTTTTCAAGTTGGTCCACATTGAGGTCCAAAGGGTCCAAAATTAAACTTTGTTTGATTTCATCAAAAATTGAATTATTGGGGTTCTTTGATATGCTGAATCTAAACATGTGTTTAGATTTTTGATTATGGGCCCAGTTTTCAAGTTGGTCCAAATTAAATCGGGGTCCAAAATTAAACTTTGTTTGATTTCAACAAAAATTGAATATATGGGGTTCTTTGATATGCTGAATCTAACCATGTATTTAGATTTTGGATATTGGACCATAAAAGGTAAATGTCCAATTTAAAAATTTTAAGTTCTAAGACCACATTCATTCTGTGTCAGAAACCTATGCTGTGTCAAATATTTAACTTGAATGTTGTGTCCATACTTGCCCCAACTGTTCAGGGTTCGACCTCTGCGGTCGTATCAAACTGCGCCCTGCGGAGCATTTTATTGACTATTACCATGAAAACTATGACATTTAGAAAGAAACATTTTTTTATGCCTTATATGATTTAAATTATCAAAGATAATAAACACTTCAAATCACAAAAATGATCAGCAAGGCAAGATCTATTAAAAAGTCAAATTTTGCCGACATAGTTAGTAGACTGTCACTCTTCATAGAAGTAATTGTCCTTAAAAGGGGATTTTTTTACCCTCTATTGTGTTTTGAGCAAAAACTAAAGAAGATAGAGAGAAACTAAACAGATTAAGAGATAAGTTTATACAAGATCAACAAAATAAAGATTTTTGTCATGAAGTCTATTCTCCTCCACAATGTTGTAGAGTGTCCTTTGTTTGATATGCACGTAGACCAAAGTGAGCGAGACACAGGCTCTTTAGAGCCTCTAGTTTTTATCAAATCTACAGTTTTCGTTGTTTGTCTTTGTGCTGACTGCTATCATGTTTCTTTTAGTTGTAAGACTTTTGATGTGACCTCATATTTATGGTTCATTTGTCAATATAAAGTTTTTGTGGCTTGGTTGGTTTCTCAGATACTGTAAGCAATAGATCACCTGTATATATGGTGTATGGTATGTTTGTAGGATGTACATATCTGTCTGGTATGTTTCATCTGACCTTGAACTTTCATGGTTTATAAGACAATGTTAATTTTTGAGGTTTGGTCTATTTCTCAGATACTATATTTATTACTATAAACAATAGATCAAATTTATTTATTGTATGGAATATTGTAAGGCGTACCTGTCTGTTTGACAGGTGTCATCTGACCTTGACCTCATTTTCATGGTTCATTGGTCAGTGTAAGTTTTCATGGTTATGTCTGTTTCTCAGATACTATAATCAATATATCAACTATATGTGTAGATAGGAATGATTGCATGGTGTAGGTGTTGTCTGCAGTGTTCATATGACCTGGACCTCATTTTTATGGTTCATAACGATAAGTCAATGTTCAGATTTCTTGCTTGTATAAAAATTAAATTAGAAGATATGGTATGATTGCCACTGAGACAACTCTCCACAAGAGACCTTACAGCCTTCAAGAATGAACAATGGTCTGTTACTCAGATATGATATCAGCAATAGGCTATATTTGGTGTATTGTGTGACAGTGATTCACTGATATATATCAGACTTTTCAGTTTTGAGATAAGAAGTAAAGCAGTTGAGACATTTCAGTGTCTGCACTTGTGTTTTAAAACAGGACATACCTTGACAAACATCTATATATATTCATAGATATAGGAAGATGTGGTATGAGTGCCAATGAGACAACTCTCCATCCAAGTTACAATTTATAAAAGTAAACCATTATAGGTCAAGGTACGGCCTTCAACATGCTTGGATTTTAATAAAAAAATATGTTTAGGTATACTTTGTTATTCCATTTAAAAAAATAATGATTGCCCACCAAAATACATCTTCTTTTGTTTTTACATTACAGATGCTGTAGAAAATTTTTGAAGGATATGTTTACTGATTATGAACAACAGGATTATATCATCATGACCATTGGAATCTTACAAGGAGAAGTGCAAATAAATGAAGGAATTCATGTGCAAAAATTATAATATTGTAAACAGGAGAACAGTCTTAAATAATACCAACTGTTAAACAGTTTTGTGAACAAGAGTCCAAGAGCAAGGCAGAGTAAACTTGGAGTGTATATATGTCAATCACAAGTACATTAAGAACACATAATGCTAATGAAATAAGAACTATGGTACACATTTTGTATGATTGTAAATATCTCTTCCAAAAAAATGTAGTTGTTAAATAAATAGAATTGAAACAACTGAATTTGTAAGGTTTATATGACCATCATATTTTGAGGTCTTTTTGCAAATTCTATCATAGAACCAACCAATCCACGATCAATCCATTCAAATCACAATTGTGGTGAACACAATTTCCAATGACCAACAGAAAAAGATGATGTCTTATCCTAATACATGTACCTTCTCTTCTTCAATTGGCTTAAGCATAATCTATTCTTTTCATTAGATTATATTCTGAGTGTAACATAAATATACAAGAGGAGATATTGCGTTTACGTCAATAAGACTAGCATAAAAACCAAGACATCTTTAAGGTAAATAGTCCATTCTAAATGGTATTTGATAATCCTTCTCTTGAGGGTTTTTTCATGGATTTAGGTTTATGAATTGAATATAGATCATTTGAATAGGATGTCATAAAATATTGTGCTTCCATTCTAATTGTAAGATAGCACACAGTAAATGTATGCCTTGCCAAAAACAGTTCTAGAAGGGAGGCAATCAAGTTTGAAAAGGACAGACAACACCATCAAATTTAAATGTAGTCATTTTGATTTCCAACTAAATACTACAATGATATAATCATTAATTTATATATGTTTACTTGAATATATAAGTAAAAAAAATTCAAATTGTTAGCGTTTACATTAGAAAAGACAAGTATAATGTATTTAAGGTATATCCATTACCAACCAGAAAAAAAACTCCAAAAAATCATAATGTATTTGGGTGTTGTGGACAACAAAAACACATGTTAAACAGGTAAAATGTTAACAATACCATACAAAAAAAAACATTCATTAAACTGGTGTAGACAACAACAAAAAACCATGCACATTATGGGTGCTGTGGAAGAAAAAAAAAACATGTCAAACAGTTGTTGAAGACCAAAAAACATATGTAAATAAGGGTGCTGAAGACAAAAAAAAAACATACGTAAAACGGGTGTTGAGGACAAAAAAAAAACATACGTAAAACGGGTGTTGAGGACAAAAAAAACATACGTAAAACACATGATTTTCTAGAAATTAACAGGCGTTTAACGTGCGTTTACCCGTAAAACGGGCGTTATACGTAATCATTTAACGCATGTTTTACGTTCACGCACGTATTACATGTGTTTAACATACGTAATTCATACGTTTCAAACGGGCGTTTTACATGCGTGGTCCTCAATATGCGTTTTACGTACGTTTTATGACATACGTAAAACGCCTGTTTAACGCATGAAAAACGGGTATGCAATTTTTGCTGTGTATAAAGTTGGTAAATATAGTTAATTTTTGTCAGTACAGTATCCTGTAAACTGACTTTAAAAAGTAATTTATAAATTTCTTGGCATAAAAGATGAATAGATAACAATTCACAGTGCTTGGACAAAGGAAGATTTCTTGGTTACCAGAAATTACAGTTTTTAACCAGATTTTCAAAGGATAATATATTGGTTATTAATTTGGTAATGTAGGGCCAGGCGGCTGCCAAACAGTGTCTGTGCAATAACTTTAAAATGCTTTGGCGAAATCTTTTCAAATTTAGGTGTGTTGTTTCCTTTGACTAAATGAAGGTAATTTCTGAACCCTACAAAATTCTTTTTTTTTATTTGCTTAATCCTGTTTTGGGGTCCAGATTTGCAAAGATTATTTTTATGCAGGAAAATCTGGTTTTCTGTCAATCTGACAGCCTCTTGTATATATCGAGTTTTTAAAACATCTGTACTTAAATTGTATAATCTTGCATCACAGAATTCACAGGCATTAAAGCACACTGTTAAGGCCCTATAATCTGATAGTAGAGTTCCATTGTTATAATTGGTAGAATTTGCTTTATTTTTGTATACAAAATATGAAGAATGAATCATATTCCTAAATAAATAAAAATTCTGAGATAAAAGGTAATATTTTTTCCCTCAATCACGAACTTCCTGACAACATTTGAATTATTTATGCATAAGGTTAGCTCGTTTAGTGTAAAATATGGAAAACATACATAGATGTTCTACCTGTAATTGTATTTGCAGATTTTACATCTTTTAAACAGGAAAATAAAATATGGAAAACATACATAGATGTTCTACCTGTAATTGTATTTGCAGATTTTACATCTTTTAAACAGGAAAATTGTTAAATATGATAGATTTAAACTGCAGCTTACATATTACCATGTATCATGTCATGTCATGTCATTAAAAGGAATAGAAATGTATGAATAACATTAATGAAATAAAAATACTTCTCTGTATACTTCACTATGATATGTCCTACAAAGATTGAATAGTTTTCACAGATGCAAGACTTATTTGTGCTGTTTCCTGCTTTGGCCACAACATTTGTTAATGTTTGTAGTTAGATCAGTTTAAGAGGAACCACAAATGATAAGTCAGCGATATTTGGTATTTACATGTTGTTGCTTCTCATTTCAATAAAGATTATTGGCTCTATGCCCCTCTGTCATGGCCCATTGACTTTGAAATTGTAATTCAGTGATTTTTAATATGCTAAATATTGCGTTAGTGTTGACAAATCTCATTTTCATGGAGATGATTTACCTTTCCCCGTCAGTCATTGTCCATTGACTTTGAAACTTTTGCATAGTTCACATGTGAAAGTATGGGAATTTGGTACATTTCAGACCTTTATATAGGAATTGCAGAAAATGATCCATTTGGTTTGGTAGTTGGCCATTTTTTTATCAATCGCTGGATTGGTTTTAAGATATCTACCTACTGGTGTATAATGTGTGTTTGTTGTAGATAATGATGCTGTTAAATAGTTATTACTTCAATGGATTTTTTTCTTCAAAATTATTATACAAAGAATATATACCGGTAATCGTGATAATGATGTATTGATAATTACTTGACAGACAATTGGATAAAGAAATTGTTGATATCTATGAGATGTATCCAGCATTATGTAGAATTTATCAGTAGTAGCAAAATTGAATTATTTTTAAATAAGCACAGAAGACTCCTCTCTGAAGGCCCCTCTCAACATATGTCAATGACTATATAAATAAGGAGATGCGGTATGATTGCCAATGAGACGACTATCCACCAGAGTTCAAATGAAGTGGATGTAAGCAATTATAGGCAACTATACGGCCTTCAACAATGAGAAAAACACAAAAACACAAAAGGAAGGTTGGGATTGATTTTGGGGGTTATGGTCCTAACAGTTTAGGAATTAGGGGCCAAAAAGGGGCCCTAATAAGCATTTCTAGTTTCCAGACAATAACTTGTGTAACGGTGTATGGATCTATCTGAAATTATACCACAAGTTTCCATACCACATAGGGATGGTTAGGATTGGCTTTGGGGGGTAATGGCTCAAACCGTTTAGGAATTAGGGGCAAAAAAAGGGGAAAAACAAGGGTTTCCTTGTTAATGGACAATTACTTTTTAAGTACAATGTTAAGTTTGGATTACCTCCCTTACACTGCTTTTAAATTATGTATAAAGAAATTTTGTATTTTCTTGAGCTGATTATTTGGGGGGGGGGGGGGTCAATTTGAAACAGCATAGTGTAGTGCACAAAAGCAAAAAATTGAATATAAATTCAAATCATATAACCAATTCTAAGTTCTTTGACTACAGTTATTCTGTGTCAGAAACCTATTATGTGTCAAATATTTAATTACAATCCAAATTCAGACCTGTTTCAAGTGCGAATATTGTGTCCATTTTTTGCCCCAACTGTTCAGGGTTGGACCTCTGAGGTCGTATCCAGCTGTGTTCGGCGAAGCAATTTATTGTTATAAAATTAAACTTATCTGCAAACATGAAGCAGCATCATGACAGATCCAAAAATTTCTTTCATGCTACAATGCAACATTATCTAGCATCAGCCTAAATATTAAATTGTCACCTTTCCAAGAATCCAAGACAAATTTGAGGAAAATTTTTCCTTCCAAGGTCTTTCAGACAATCCGATGGAGTCGAGTGGTTATTAATATACCTGTTTTGCCATTTGTGATGTAGGTAAAAACATGTAGCTTAATTGAATGATTACTTAAAAAAGACACTCCCTCTTATAAAAATTTTATGCTTGATTTACTTCTATTCAGATGATCGACTGAGTCTGGAATATATAGGAATCATCATGTCCATATGTCTGTCTGTCATACTTGAGGTTTCCAGATGATAAAGAGAGAACCACTTTATAAAATTGAATTTAAGACTTGTTTTGGACCACTTCAGACAGGTTATTTCTGATTTTTGTTGTTTTCATGTTTACCGTTCTAGAGTTATGGTACTTGATTATAGGAAACAAACAGTTCACACAATACTTCTCTGAAAACTAAGATTGAGCATCAAGACCCAACCAAAACAATTATAATCACAAAGAAGGAAGGAAAAAATTATGGCTACAACAAATGGAACATACTAGTTGTTATATGATACACATTTTCAATTCCAATCATAGAAGTCTGGTGTGGCTAAAGCTTTAAGACATGACTTGCAACTTTACCATTAAGAATATTTGATTCAGTGGCTTCCTTGTATAAGCAGCAAGCCCCTATCAAAGAAATTCTGATGGGAAACCCAAGCCTTGTAAACAATTTTAACTGGGATAAATATATACATAAAAACATATCCTGTGTCACTTTTCACTTTAAAGTATCCCCACATATTTGGATTTGAATTAGCTTGGAGTACACTGACTAATCTGTAATTGTATTGCTCAAAAATTTCATTTACTTATGAACAAGAGCCACACCTGATTCTCGCAGTTTATCAAGAAAGGTGTTGTGGTGATAAAGAAAGAATTATAATTTCAGTTGGAGGCTTTGTTTAAAGGGGCTAGTTGTCAAATTCATGTTCACCGATTTAACTAAAATTCTATTTGATTTAAAACATACTAAAACGCATATCTAAATTATGAAAAGT